CGGTAACACGATTCGCGTCCAAATTAGGCTTTTTAGGACGCCGTGAGCCACTTCACGCGCACTACATCTCTTTAAACATGAATGATTTGGTGTTTTTGATAACTACAGATAAGGCACAAACCGAAATTGTGTAACTCTGACGTCTTTTCTAGTAAAATGTCTAGTCGTTAAAAAACAAATCGCCCTGTATAAGCACGATTGTAAGGCAGTTCTTCACGTCCGGCGACATCATTACGGCATGGAAGGAGACGTTGACCACAGATCATACGCTGCGTATGATCTATGGTCACTGTTTTTTTTCGTACGAGAATGGGCAAACATTTGATACCAAATAAAATAGATTTAGCATTCACCGAATTCGGCTTGTTTAGTTGATTCAAATCAGTATTTGATTTTTATTACACTTATTTTGTGCCCGCACACGCCTACTTTATTCCCTAATGAGTTACAAGTGATAATTACATTATTTTTTTGTCGTGCGAGGTCATCACAATTTATCATTAACAATCGGAACTATGCGATTACGCGGAGGAGGCGCATTTGAAGATATTCAAAATTGTTCTGAATACACAAACAACTTCAAACGTCTTGCTGTGTGGGTCCTTTCCTACACGCAGGACCAATAATAAAGCCAAAACCTCATAGAGGAGACTATCTCTATCAACTCAACACGCAAACACGATGTGAAGCGTGTCTGCGTACGTTGGAAAAGAGATACCGGCGAGCACACCATAGCGTCAAATGTCCATCCATCAAAATGTCCGTGCACCGAAATATCCGCGCACCGAAAAGTCCCACACCGAAAAGTCTTTGCAGCAAAAAGTCCGTACACTGAAATGTCTATGCACCGAAAAGTCCGCACGGAAATGCCATACAGCAAAACGCTTTACACCGAAAAGTGCTAGACCCACTACGGATGGGATCCTCCGGCACCTCTGCCGGTTTACGAACCATAATGATTCAGAACCACTGGTCTATAGAGCGCCATCCCTGATATACAGAAAACGCCGCTCGTACTTCCCGTTGTCGCCATGAATCCGCCTAAACAACGAAAGATGCCAAATCAGATATTTATATTAAAATTGATACTTCAATGACTACTTCTTTGAGCTGAACAAGGTATTTGTGCTCTCACAGCAGCAAGAATCGTCCTCCAAACCAATGGTAAAAAAGAGCCAATGCAACTCGTTGGGAACAGCAAGTGCCAAGCTCGCTCAAAACAGCTACTCGGCTGGTTCAGCTCCTTGTCGCAGGTGTGCCGGCTGGCTTCTGGATAATCTTTTCAAATCCTCGAAGCTTTCAATTCCTCCACCCCAAACTTGTCAAAAAAAAAAAAAAAAAAAAAAAAAAAAAAAAACAGGCAGCCGGCAAAAAAAAAAAAAAAAAAAAAAAAATCGTAAAATGGCGAGGAGGAAACGAAAGGCGATTTCCTCCTTTCACAGTGGCGAGAAGGAAAGTGAGGGTCGGGTTCCTTCTCTCTGCTTGCGGGCCGGCCTTTAAATAAAGTACGCGTCATAGTTTCAACGCGCGAACATTGTTGATATGTACCTTTCTTTGGACCCGCGTACATTCGGTTCAACTTGATGGCAGCTGCACCAGCGTGAGAGCTCACGTCGAACACTTGCACACATATCTTGACTATGGCAAGATTTCTTGCCTTCGACTGGCTTGAACACTTCATCTGTAGCATCACGGTAGGTCTTGGTTGAAACGATGATCGTCGCGCACACGGCAACAAGCAGAGAACGACATGCACGCTTTGTTTTATTTGTACGCTGCCGGTCTACGGGCGTCGCAAATCTATCCCCCTCTTGCCCGCCATGTTAATCGATCGGAGCGCCCCCTATATTCGCTGAAACTCCTCAATAACCAAAATGAAGCGTTGACGAACACGCGCGCAAAATGTCATTTGTTTTAGGGTTTTGTTTTAGAACGGTCGTGCTGCAGACGCTTGCACGTGCGGCGCGTGGGTGCGGTGCGAGCTTAGAGTTTTGGTCACTCACACGGAAAATCCAAGGAACCCTAGCCATAAACAGCTTCGATGTAAAAATGAGCCCGGATATGTACGAGACGGCGCTGCGGTCGTATACGGGCTCGAGGATCCGACCAGTTCCGAGCGCTCCGCGCGAAGGCCTTCGGTGAGCAGGTTTGACTTGCGGTTTGGCCGTTTGGCGGTATGGCAGCGCAAAGTGGCTCCCGTTCTGAACTGATCTTTTCCCCGCGTTTGCTGCCGTTTGTGGCCAATGAAGTGTCATGCCGAATTAGTGTTAAATCGCACAGCAAATGCAATGCGAGCCAGCCTGGCTGCCCACTTCATACAGCCTATCCAGAACATGCTTTAGTGGCGCCCTCTCGTGCCGTCGACACGGAGTGCGGCAGCCGTGACCGCTCGCTGAGCTCACTACCCCTCCTCCTGTTCACGGCCACTCAAGCAACCGAGGACGTCAGGAAGGAGGTTATTTTTTGCTTGTTGATGTCATTTTAATTTGCCTATAACTTTTAAAATAAAGCGAAAATTCGAGAAAAAAAGTTTTATTAAGCTACTACGTTCAATTGAAAACGAACATGTTAGTTAATAGATACAAAACTTGAAAGTATAAAACAGAGAGGACGAGGACGGGAACAGGACATCTTTCATGACCGGTATGAAAGATGTCCTGTTCCCGTCATCGTCCTCTCTGTTTTATACTTTCAAGTTTTGTACTACGTTCAGTGCGCTCAGGTTCGGTGCAAATTAAAAACCAGTAAAAAAAGTTATTGCAGGGCCCCTTTAAGAAAGTGCCTTTAACGCGGGAATAAATAGAGAGATGAAGTGGGAAAAAGTGTGTGGCCGAGAACAGCCGTACACCTCGCCATAAAAGAATAAGTCGCGTATCCACTCAAGTTTTAATATGATAGCTACATTCTGTGATCCAGTAGCCAACGTTTAGGAGGAGAAAACATTGAGCGGGTAGTAATTCTATTTCTGGTGAATTTAGGGCGGTGTCAAAGGTATTTAAAGAAACGATAGTAAATTATGTCAAAAGTGTACTTCACAATTCAGTAAAGGGAAATTCGATGAAACGGCGTCAAGTTATTCGATGAAACGGCGTTCGATGAATCGGCGTTCAATGAAATGTCCACTTATTCGATGAAACGGCGTTCGATGAAATGTCCGGTACCCTAGGACTTGGTACATGCGGGAACTAACACTTTTTAAGCAATATAAGATCAAAAACGACCTTTCAGAAATGACTTTAGTTCTTCTTTAACTTTTTCTCCGAAGCACGTTCAAAAGCGTTGTTTTCATCTTATTCTGAATTTGCGCATTCTTTTATCCTCAAGGTCTTCGAAACCAGTTTTCCACCAGGTGGAGTTCTAAATGAACTAGTGGATTCTGATTCTGGCATCTTGACCACCTTGACCTCAATGCGTCAACAATGTTTCGAGCTTATGCAGAGGGGGCAGGGGAAGAGGGTTGAGAAGCGGTTTTGTGGACACTCTCACGGGTTTCCCTTTTTGACATTTTGTGACTTTGACAAGGGAAATGGGGGGGGGGGGGGGGGGATGTGGTTCTCGCTTTTAGATGTTAATCAGCGACCGAGGCTGTTGTCCTCGAGTCGATGTTTCTCATGAGCGTGCACGTGTTGTTCACTGGCGAAATCATCAACAAATCTGGCTGCCTGATCAACTTTTAGTTCGGCTGCTATGAATATGCAAGGCCGGACTACATGTAAAGTCCCCCACATCGTGGCGGGGCATATTACGAACTTATTGCGAAGTGCATCATGAGCTGAGCCTGCCGTCAAAATAAAACACGTCCTAAAGTATTTCAGCACGCAATATATGTTACATACCCCGAATTATATCAGAGTAAACTTCAATTGCAGCAGCTAAGGCGCTTCTTGAAGGTCGTAAAGTTCACAGCAAAATGTGATTTTCAGAGAAGTAATTAAAAATAGAGCACCCCTTCTTGACTTTTTATTCTTATAGTACCAGGTTGGCGAAACTTGCCAAGTATCTTGCAATGTGATTCAATTACTTTTTCAAAGTAGTTATACTCTACTCAATATGGTTCGTGCTCAAAGTAACTTGAATACTACTCTAAATACATTTTCAAATGGGTATTTTATATCTTATCTTAAATATTTTGTTGAATATTTAGAACAACACTGGTCACTGGGTCCTGTTCCGCAGGCCGTTAACCACTGTTGTCGCGCTGCTTGAGAATAATTTTGACGAGAAGTACGAGCAAAAAATTAGGTCAAAGCAACCCTAAAGTATCGTTCAAATGAGCGAATTAAACGTGACTTGTGAACGATACGCATCAACCTACATGCTACCAACGAAGCGCACAAGTGGTCATGTGAGCTTGGCTACTACGTCAAGACGAGAAACCGTTAGGTTGCACCACTCCATCTTCTTTGTGCCAGTAAGGCTAGATGTTGCCATCGCTTGCTTCTTCCAGCGGCAAAACGCGGTCCAACGAGGCTTCTCGTCTGCCGTCACTTCTGCTTCTCCCAGCGGCCCACGTGATCCAAATACTTTTTTGTTTAGGAATACCTTTTATTCTGCGAATATCAAATGGCCTTGGAGCCAGCAGCTTTTGCATAGGTAGAACGGCACGTCACGCGCACCATCGGTGTTTCGGCATTGAATTTGGAGGGTGGCTTCCACCATCTATCGTCGTGGCCAGCCTTCGAGACAGCGGAGGCAGCCGTCTCTGCTGTGTCGGCAAATCCGGTATTCCGGTGCGTCGTCGGCTTCCCTCTCTATCGGCGCAGCACAAAACGGTAACAGCATGGACAGCGCGAAGCGCGTGCGTTCTCTCAAACGTCTAGTGCAGAGGAGCCTGTGAGAGGCATAATAAAGTATTTGCGTAATTAGTCTCTGTTACCGCGCCTTATCACCTCGTCTCGTAGTCGAAACTCGCTCTCACAGGTGGGAAGAAACCGTTTTTTTTTAACGACTTGCTTAACGAATTCCGTCCGCGGTTGTTAAGAGAAGGAGAGGGAGCTCACCTCGAAGCCACTGCCAAGGATTGCTGCGAGCAAGGCGGGAAGAAAAAAATTCCAGCCGACCCTCTTCACATATTCGTAATATGTCTGCCAGCCGACCTGAGGAAGGAAAGTCGCGACACTGTTTTCGATGTTTCAGACCGGCAAAAAAAGAAGAAGAAAAAAAGAAAGAATGCATTTGTGATATTTAATTAAAATTCTAAATACAAAATTATATATCTAGAAAAAAAAAACGTTTAAAAATTTATTTAAGTAAAATAAATCCGAGTTTTTCTATCTAGATAAGAGTGTCGATCTTTCTCTCCCCGTGGATTTCGAGTTAAACCCGTAACAATTCGAATTCAAAGACGTTTTTGTGGAGATTACGCATTGAATGCCATTGTCAGACCGCTAATACATCATACAAAAGGCATCCTGCAGACAATATCTGAAGTGTATTTCTTCTTTGTATTGTCACGAAGGACGCGTGCGTGGCCGAGTGGTTATCGCGCTTGACTGTCGCGCGGAAAGCCTGGGTTCGATTCCTGTCAGTGGAATGCTCTTTTATTTATTCTTTCAACATTGCGTTCTCGGCAGTTCGAGAACATTCTCGTCTGATCAAGTTCCGAATGTTCCAGTCGCCGAACATTCTAGGCCGATTATTCCAAAAGCCAACGCGCGTACATAAGGGACTCCGCGTGGCGATCTGCAGTCAGTTTCGCCCCAGCGTTCGACTCTGCTCTTTCGCCGACTTCGACGCCCACGACGCTTTTGGTTCCTTTTTATGTTTGGGCACAAGTTCGCCCTATTAAACGTTTAGTTCCTTCAGTTACTCGCCGCCTCATCACTTGTCCTTCGTGACATTTTGGTGCAGGTGCTGGGTAGACGTCTTTCTTCGTAACCGCGTTCAGCTGGCGGTAGTCCACGCAGAACCTAAGAGTTCCGTCCTTCTTAACCAGCACGACTGGAGAGGCCCACGGACTGCTTGAAGCAGTCCGTGGGCCTCTCCAGTCGTGCTTCACAGCATCACAGCATCACAGCATCACAAGCTTCACACCATCTCTTGAACTTGCTGCTGGATCACCTCCCTTTCCTTAGCGGAGACTCTCTACAGCAATCGATGCACAGGGCGCGCGTCGTCCTTGGTAACGATGCGGTGCTTCGCAACGGCGGTCTGGCGCACCTTCGACGACGTCGCAAAGCAGTTGCGGTATTCGTCGAGGAGGTTAATCAGCTGCCGTCGTTTCGGGCCCGGAAGCTTAGGGTCAATGTTGAGCTGCGCTGGCGGCGTACTGTCTTGCTGAGGCGGCGAGGATTCGTCAGTAATCGCGGCGGTTTCGGCGGGGTTTCGGAGTTCCTCGACGTGGCCCACGGCTGCACCTTTCGTGAGGTGTTCCGTTTCGTTTCGGAAGTTCGTCACGAGGGCCACAGTCCACCCATCCTGAAGTTCAGCTACTCCCCTTGCGACACCTATTCCTCTTCCCAGGAGCAATTGGCAGCTTCCCTCGAGAAGAACTTCGCCGCAGGAAGCTTCATCGATCCCGACAAGTACGAAAACACTTGACCGCGGGGGTAAGTTTACGTGGTTTGCGAGGACTCGAACCGCGGGTGACGCCGCTTTGGGTTCCTCCGCTGGTGGAGCAGGTTTTCGTAGCGTCAGCCGGTTTGTTCTGAGGTCGATGACGGCGCCATATTCGCAGAGAAAGTCCATTCCGAGGATAACGTCCCTTGCACAGTCTTGCAGAACGATGAACTTGACAGGGCACGTCTCACTGTGGATTTCAACTCGAGCAGTGCACCTTCCGACAGGCGTAATGATGTGTCCTCCAGCAGTTCGAATCTGCGGCCCCTCCCATGGCGTCGTCACTTTTCGAAGGCGGCGAGAAAGCCTCCCACTCATGACTGAGTAGTATGGTCCGGTGTCCACGAGTGCCGATGCGTCGTGGCCGTCGATGACGACGTTTAGGTTGTTGGACACCGTTGCAGGATCGTCGTTGCAATGCGTGGCGTCGAGAGAGTGGGAGCGCTCCGGCGTTCTTGGAGGCTCTTTACTTGGGTCGTCTTCGGCAACGGCAACTCCAGGCATTGCCGCACTTAGTTTTCCCGACGAGATAGGGGGGACAGGCTGTCACGGCGCGACCGACGGAAAGGCAACGCGGAACGTCGGGGGGATGGAGAACGGGAACCTCGTGGTGCTGCTGGGGCTGGTGACGGAGGGCGACGGAGGTATTCCTCGATGTCCCTTGGTCGTTCTCCAAAAACTAGGTCGACGGTCGTTTGGCGCGAATCCTCGCAGGCCGAGCTGGCGGTAGGGGCACCTTCGGTAAACATGGTCAGCCTCCCCGCAGTGGAAGCACACCGGGCGTCCGTCATCCGTGCGCCACACGTCGGTCTTTCAAAGTCCGCGCTGCTCTTGGCGCGGCGCGTACTGCGGCGAAGAGACTTCTCGTCGGGGTGCAGATAGGTACTGCCGGGCGACGACGAACAACGGCGGCGTAGGTCACAGCTGGTGGTTCCGGTGCGGCGTCGGCGAGAACGTCTGGCTGGAGCGCTTGCTGGACCTCTTCTCGAACAATCTCGGCGATCGAGAGTGAAGCTGGACGTTCGGCGGTAGGTATCAGCTGCTTCAGTTATTCAAGGACGATGTCTCGGACAATTTCTCGAATCCCCGGAATATTGGTGCTGAGGGCGCAGCTTGAAGGCGTGGGTACTGCGACGGCAGGAGCTCGATGGAAGTGAGCGTCTCGTGCTTGCAGGGCCCGTTCAATGTTGGTCGCCTCCGTTACAAACGTTTCGACGGTGGTCGGCGGGTTGCGGACGAGGCCTCCGAAGATGTCATCTCTTACGCCTCGCATCAGGATCCGCAACTTCTTTTCGTCGGTGGCTTGAGGGTCGGCGCGAGTGACCAGGCGCAGGACATCCTCGACGAAACTGGTGATGGTCTCGTTTGCGCCCTGGGTCCTCATTCGAAGAAGGTCCTCGGCCCTCTCCCGTCGATCCTGGTTGGTAAATGTTCGTCTCAGCTGATTCTTGCATGCGGTCCACGAGATCAACAAAGTCTCGTGATTCTCGAACAAGTGCATGGCCGTTCCTTCGAGCGCGAAGTAAAGATTCTGCAGGCGCTGGTCGTCCGTCCATCGGTTGGGCTGGACCACCCGCTCGTACTGTTGAAGCCAGTCCTCGATGTTTTCATAAGTCTCGCCATGGAAGGACGCGGGCGTGCGAGGAGCGACGGGTAGGACAACGACGGGTGGAGTGGTCATCGTCGCGGTCTCCTCTGGTTTCAGTGGCAAGGGTCCGAGTCCCGGAGGTTGGTCTTTGGTACGGCGGGTTGCTCGGACGTTGGCGTCTTCTGCGAAGGGTAGCCTTCCGGGGCTGAGCACTTCACTTGGCCAGGATGTCTTCGTAGGTGTACGCTTCACGGGCATAGAAAGCGATACCCCGCACCTCCACCAAAAATGTCAGGAAGGACAAGTGATGAGGCGGCGAATAACTGAAGGAACTAAACGTTTAATAGGGCGAACTTGTGCCCAAACATAAACAGGAACCAAAAGATAACAGCAGCGCGTCGCGGGCGTCGAAGTCGGCGAAAAAGCAGAGTCGAACGCTGGGGCGAAACTGACTGCAGATCGCCACGGGGAGCCCCTTATGTACGCGCGTTGGCTTCTGGAATAATCGGCCTAGAATGTTCGGCGACTGGAACATTCGGAACTCGATCAGACAGAATGTTCTCGAACTGCCGAGAACGCAATGTTGAAAGAATAAATAAAAGAGCATTCCACTGACAGGAATCGAACCCAGGCTTTCCGCGCGACAGTCAAGCGCGATAACCATTCGGCCACGCACGCGGTCGCTCGCCGACGAGCGTGGCAGTATAACGGTTCTGTCACATTGGTTATGAAAAAAAAAAAAAAAAAAAAAACTGGCTGCAGACAGGCTTGAAGTGGACACATGTACGAAACAAGGATGCTTCCAGCAGCTTCAGGAGTGCTGCGGATGATTCTGTTATCATGCGTCTGCCCCAAACACCGTGACTCATGACTTTTGCATGACGTAATCAGTTGGAAACAAATCCTTAGGGTCCAAAAAAGAAACCATTGCCTGCCGCTGGCGTCACTTAGTTTTTGTTTTTTTTTCATTTGAGACTTCCAGTAACACGGTGAGAACAGAAATTGTAAATTCGATAACGTCGCGAAAATAAAATTAGTTTGACCTGATATTCGGAACTCTATTTCAGCAAAGTGTGTTGGTGTCTTTAAGAATTTTTTTTAGACACATCGGGGGCCACAAAGAAGACGCCGGAGTACCCTTTTAATTAAAGAGTGGCTCCGCCGGTGTTTCCGTGGTCACTGATTTGCCCCGAAATTTGTTCGATACAGCAGGAGATAGATTAAAAAAAATGAAAGCCGTTTACAACTCCCTGTAACGCCAAATTGGAGCGCAGCTCTTGAGGAGGAGGAGGGAAGGGTAGTGAGGAAAGCGTATATTGCTCCTCCCTCTTCCTGCCTCGTGACACTGCCTGCTACTCCTCCTCCCCCTCCTTCTCCTTCACCTCCTCCTCCTTCTTCTTCACCCCCTCTCCTCCCCTCGTCTCCTCCTCCCCCTCCCCCTCCTCAAGGGGGGGTCACGTGACCTAGGTTAGAGGAGTCACGTGATCTGGGGGTGTCACGTGACCTGGGGAGGGGGTCACGTGACCGCGGGGGGGGGGGGTCACGTGACCTGGGGGGTCACGTGACCTTGCGGTTACGCTGACGGCGACAGCGGAGGCGACGGCGACGCCACTCAAGCTGGAAACGGGCGCCTAAGAGCTGCGCTCTAAAAAAAGTATTGGCGAAGTTATTGCATTTTTAAAATTTGTCGTCAATGTTTGAAAGTGTGTACGGGCAACAAGGATAGAGATAAGATAAAACTAAGTATCACGTTCACTATTTGTGCATTAGAACTATACTTCTCAATGGAGTACAAGAGGTTTGATGGTGCGGGATGAAGGCCGTGAAAGCTAATTCCTGCAGCACTCGCTGAGCAGCCATGTTCAGGTTTTTTTTGGACTACCTGCCCCACCTGCGAACTTTCAACACGTGACTGTACAAAGCACGGGGACATATGAATGTGTGTTTTGGCATCACATTCACTTGCCGTTTCTTTGATGGCTATTTTGAGCTCAAATGCACTAAACAGCGAGCCGGGAACATTAACGCCCGTATATACCAAAAATGTAATTAGATTAGGCAGCTGAAAACCACAGGAGCACACCCTTTGGGAACGCTCACTCGATAGGACAGTTATGTTTTACTCTGAAAATGACAACTTTCATACTCCTTTGCGGTCTCCTTACTACAGACGCAAATGACCAGTGTATTCTAATTGCGGGACAAAACGGGGTAGTAAAAATGCGATTGAATAGAAAAATTGATCCAGTTTTTTTTATATTTTTGTCGCATTTTTTACTTATTAGAGAAGTCGTTCGGCTGAGTGTAATTTTCTGCACGCTCGTGATGTTTATAAGCAAATGAAACCTGAATCTAGTTTTGAACACTTTGTTAAACTGTTGGGGTGCAGCAGCAGCAGGTACGGCGCCAAGGCGCCAACTTTCGAACTTTTTTGAACGATGACGCCAGACTTACATTTCCCGTGTTGGCTCTTTCGTCATCCGCAAGCTTGCACTCATCTTGAGCGTCTTTTTCCACAAGCTCGTCCGTTGGCCTAAGGATTAGTCGCAATGAAATCGTCAGGAGCATAGCAAAATAAAAAAAAACAAAAAACCTCCCCCCCCCCCAAAAAAAAAAAGAAAACAATGAGCGCTTGTTTTTTTATATTTGCTTCTCGCTACTCTTTCTACTATTTTTATTCTCTCTAAATTGGTCACTTTCTTAAGAAGAAATTGAGCGCATGTGTAAACCCTCGTCATGTTTCCCAACTATATTTTTTTTTCATTGCAGTTATAGGGATCTGACGCATGAGCATATAGGGCAATGCGTTGTGTATGGTATTTTGGCTATAAAGATTTGCAGTACACTGGTAAATAAATAAAAACAAAAGTACAGTTGTCATAAATGGTGTTTCACACACGTGTTTCTGGTAAGCAAATTTGTCACTGGGCGCTAAGTCACTGTTTGAGCGGTACCGTTTCTTTCTTGTGAAAATCGTGACTTGCAATTAAGGCTAGTGAGAGTAGGTGCGACTACAGAAACATGCACCCTAAAGAAAATATCTGCGAGTTCATTTTCCTGCAAAACACGTAGACAACCAATCACGGCGGACCAATAGAAGAACCCCAGCGAATAACGAAGCGGAGACTACGGTTAGATTTAGGGTGGCCACCCGTCCCGCGACTCGCGGGACTGCCCCGCATTGAGGGCTCGTATCCCGCATCGCGCCAGAAATTCCCAAATCTTCTAAATGTCCCGCATTTCACACTGTGATAAAATTCCCTCTGCAACTCATGGTGCTGCCGAACAACGGGGCACGGGGAGCGCGGAGGTCACTGGTAATCGTATGAATCGCAATGGTACGCCATTTTCTATAGAAGCATTGCGGGAAGCGACTGTCCTTCTTGCAGGAGAACCGATGCGCATGCGCCGCTGTGCCTCTAGCTTCCCTTGATGGCAAAATATTATAAGAAAAATTGTTCGCCAAAATTTTAAATATAAATTATTGTAATTCTATTTAAATCGCTTTGTCAATGCGAAAGGATTGCTGCGGAATTTGTTTTAGTGAAGACAGCCATACAAGGCAAAAACGCCTGAAACTCACAACGGTCAAAAAAGAACATAATGTTAAAAATTGATAAAAGCAGCTTTAACAGGAAACAATAACTTGAAAAAAGATTTACTGTTTCTTATTTCCATTTGATGCATTGAGTTCTGCCGCAGTCAATTTTTATATTTTCAACTTCGACACATTTAATGACCTATTTAGCATAAAAAATACATCACTGGGAGTGAACATTATTTGAATTGCTGCTATACAATTTGCAGGTGTGTAAACAGCACAGGATAATGTGTTAACAGAACCTCGGTTCGTGCTGTGCTCGTTAAAAAATTTTGTCTAACTCCCCCCGTCCCGCGTGTCCCGAGTGTCCCGAGTGTCCTGCGTGTCCCGCATTTCGCTAGCAAGAAGGTGGTCACCCTAGTTAGATTTGAAAAATGAAATGTACGCCGGGACAATAGACCCTTTCCGCAAATAAGTGCCACATGGTGACGAAAATGGCAGTTTAACTTTTAGCGTACTAATGCCGGCAATGAAGCTGTAGTCTGCAGTATTTCATCGGCCACCGTTTTTCTCGCAAGTCAATGGCGAATGAGAATGTGCTCTTCGATCACTGTGCAGTTCTTTCTTGATCTCTTTCAGTGTGGATGGTTACAAAGATGCAACCAACCTGAAATTAATGCCGACCCACACCGACACCTCGACAAAACTCTATACGTCAAGCAACTTTGAGGCCGATTGTGTGCTACTAACAGACTGACCGGGCCCGAGTTAGAAAGGAACGCTTTCGCAGCTCTCGCGATCGGGTGGTCATCATTTGAGCCCGTTCTCGTTTCGACCTTCTCACTTGGCCCTTCTCAAAACAACCATTCTCAAAAAGATCTTCTCTCTTGGACCTGTCGCATTTGGTCCTTTCCCGTTTCGTCTTTCGTATTCCAACCCTCCTCATCCGGGCCCGTTCTCGTTTCGCCCTTCTCACCTGGCCCTTCTCAAAACAGCCATTCTCAAAAATTTCTCGCTTTAACCCTTCGCACTTGACTCTTTCAATACCAGAATCGTTTTTTAGGGTAATATTAATAAATACATTGATATGATTTGTGTGTGTGTGTGTGCCACGCTACAGCCATACTCTCTCTGCAAAGGATTTTAGCAGTGCGTCGAGGTCATCGTGAAAAGCTACTAGCTGACAATAAAAAAGACCAACTATTTATCGCAGCAAGATAATATTCCGAAATGTTACGTTGTTGGAGGTCTCTCGACTTGGGAAAACACCACCACTTCTATAAAGCAGTGGTTCTCAAAAGGGGGTCTGCGAAGGCATCCTACCTGTCTGCTAAGACCTGTCTCATCAGTCAGGCACGGCGATGTTAGTTGTCTTTCTTCACGTTGAGAAGAAACATTCCAATTTTTGGGAGAGTACTCTCGTGTGTATGTCACTGAGATAAGTCTACTTCACACTAGCAATTCGTTATATCCATTTATTAAATCAATATTATGATAACCTATACCTTTCTTTTCCCCTCACCCCGACGGGGTCCTCTATCATCTCCGCCTTTCTACAAGGGGTCCGCCAAAAATCAATGGTTGAGAACCACTGCTCTTATATATGCTATTTCTGTTCAAACAAAGTTTCCAAATAAAATGTTCATCGCTTTTTTTTCTCATTTGCTTAGAGGAAGGGAAGCAGGCGTCAATGTACGATTCTCAGTGCGTACCTCTACACATAATATATGTCTGATGGTATGTTGGGGGCCCAAGCAAGGCAAGGCTCATCAACAAAGCCGCGAAGGCATAACGACGTTAGAAGCATGCCGAACTAGTGCCACCCGGTCGTAGCGCGAACGGGCGAAATGAGAATGAGTCCAATTGCGAAAAACACAATTCGGATCTTATGAGAAGGTTCTAATGAGAAGGACCAAATGAGAATGGGTCAAAATGGGCAAGGTTCAAATGCGAATGGGACGTTTTGAGATACACCCCTAGCGATCTATTCCCGCTTCGCGCCGTGCTAAGGTCTCGGATCTAAAGGCCTCGAATCGACAGCTGAGGAACATCTCCAACTTTTCATGCGAAAGCATTAACCGTCCGATGGAGCGAGCCGACGTCATCAGCCGCGTCAAACGACAGATGAATTCCCCTCTCCCAATGGAGCGAATTGAAGCCGCGATCTGAGGCATCCCAGCTTTGAACCGCGCAAAAAGCTAATCCAAACGGCAAATAAATTCACCTCTCAAGTGAAGCCGAAATCTCGTGGATAGGGCTCCCATTGGCAGAGGCGCGCGGGTTTCAAGAAGATTTACCTCATGGCGCTACGTGCCCGCGTTAGATAAAGCCGCGCCAGAGCGCGCCGGGAAGAGGAAGAGTTTGGCTTCTTTTCCATACTCCGGAGCGCGGCGCGGTCACTTCACAAGAACGCGCGCAAGAACGACATTCACGCTTTCGCATTCACAACTCAGAAGAAGTGCTTAGGTGTACCTCGAGCCTTTTTCCTTCATCAGTTATCCGAAGACCGCCATCAGTACGGAATATGCACCTTTGTTCGATGACGATTGTGATCACAGTGGCCAGACTGAATTTCGGAAATGGTACGTTAGCATGGCGCTTCAATCGCTTATCATCCCCTCGCGCAATGCATTTTTTTTTTAAATATCCAGTCGTATTGTGAGCCTCGCCGTTTGCTTGTATACTCTCGTATTGTCGGGCCGTGATTGGCTGTCTACGTGTTTTGTAAAAAAGTAAACTGGGATACTTTTTTTTTTTTTCAGAGTGCATACACTCCGTTTAACGCCGAGACCGGCCGCAGCCGACTCCGACTCTGCGGAGCCAATCGTGCAGCTATAGATCAATCACGCTTTCTTCTGCGCGTGATTGGTTAAGATGGTGATAGGAAAAGCACAAGAAACGATCAGGGTCGTGACGATGAGTTTTTAGCGCCGCTGCAGTCGGACTCGATGCAAAACAGAGTATACTACATGTTTACATTATGGTAAAACGTACCACTCGCTCTGATATACCTTTTAGCGGTGTCCTCCGCCACAGGCCCCGAGTCGTCTTCGCTATAATTTCTCGTCGAGTGATTTCGGAGGAACTTTGAGAATTTGTTTTCCGTTCGTGCGAGCAGCTCGTGGTACGTGCCCTGCTCCCCGACTCTCCCTTTGTCGAGGAAGACGATCCAGTCGACGGCGGGGAGGTAGGCCGTGCTGTGCGTCACAAAGAGCCTCGTCTGAAATGTTTAAAGCCAACGTTTTAGGGACAATGTCCCACTGCGTCACGTCATCATCCCACTGCGCCACGTCATCATAAGAAAAAAAAGAGCCACCGTGTACGCTGCACACATGATGACAGAACTATCTGCGGATACGTCTTAGGCATCATCGACAGTGTTAGGAAGTACTTTAGGTACTTAAAATACTACTTCAAGTATAGGTTTAGGAAACTTGTACTTTACTTTAAGTATATTCTCCGAGTATGTACTTGTACTTTTTTTAAATTGTGTTTTTCTGGTACTTTCCGAGGAAAGTACGATTCCCGACTTCAAAGTATACATTTTCCAAATTTGGTTTTGTTAAATTTGCCTCACGAAATGATGCTTTGTCAACTCCGAAGAAAAACCTGGGATGGATATTCCACTCCAGAAACGTGCGCAGACGACGCATCGCTCCATTCGCTCTGGTAGCGGCTTTCCCGTAGGTTTTTCAACTTTCGCTACTTCTCGGTCGGTCAGCGCAGGCGAGGAGGTTTAAATATATTAGGAGAGGAAAATTAATCATAATGTAGCACCTGAGACTGTGGTGGGGAAGAATTAAATTTTTAATGTTGAAGTAAAAGACAACAGGGGGGAACGTCACAATGTTTTGAGACATTTTCTTCTATCTTTTCCTTTTATTTAAAAGTTCCTTAATTTTTTCGCACTCCAATCTCAGGTGTCACATTATGATTAATTATCACCAGCGCGCTTGCACGCTCACTGTTTTTCGCATTAAGGAGGGGACACTCCTCTATGAGAGGATTGCTTGTGGAAGCTACGAGGCTGACGTCATGCTCTTTCCTAGTACAATTAGCCCCCTTGAGTGCAACAAGCCAGTGCAAGCGGCGCCCAATTCAGAAAAGGGGCTTCTGAATTTGGCTCCATTCATGAAAATAACTACTCTGTGGTCACTTGACTTTATCATATATTCGCCGCTGTTTTTGAAAATAGGTCATGCACCCCTGATTACCGCTGGGCCCCGGGCAATGCGTACCAGTTGAAAAATCACTGTATAGAGGAATGAAAGGGCATCATGAAAGATTGTGTTAAAATACTTGTACTTTACTTTGAAAGTACATTGCATTTATAGTACTTTACTTCAAGTACGTTGCACCCAATGTACTTAATACTTAAAGTACATCACGTCTGATTCGCTTTGTACTTCACTTGAACTAACTTTTTAGATGTACTTTACCCAACACAGTTCGACGACAGAGCCCTGGAGTGGCCGGTCGCAGATTTGGAGCGCAAGAATCTGGTAGCACAGAGCATCAAAGAGCCATATCTCGGTGAACGCGGATGTCAGCGCACAGCTGTTGCAGCGGCGGGGGCACGGGAGGAGTGTGTTTCGACGTTTCGCCGCAGTGGGGCGCAAGTCACGTGGCTCTCCTCTCATCCGTTGTCTGCCGCTCCACCCCTTGCGGATCGGCGGCCGCTTCTCGTGGCGATCTGCCAAGCTTTCTCACTACATAGGACGCTATGGTCATGGACAGTGTCTTCAGGCTGTCTTTTGTAACATCTTTAGTAGTGCGACCGCGGCTATAAGATCGCAAAAAATAAAAATAAAAGAGGCAGGCTGGAGACAGTGTTTGAGGCAATCCTTGTATGTCGTTGGTCATATAAACAAACTATCTGAAGACATGTTCGAAGCATGTATGCAGCAAAATTTATTCGAACATGCGCAGATAATTGTCATCATATGTCCGCGGAGAGCAAAGTGTCATTTTTGGGCGATGTATATATACAGTGAGACTGTGGCTTTGGGGTGACAAGATGCAATGTGCAATAGTGCTCGCAGATACACAAACCTTCAAGGCCCTCAAGTTTCCAAGTTCGAGTTTAAAACGCACTTTCTATTCCAAGCATGTCGGCCACGTGAAATGTTTAGTTTATTTCATTTTATTTAAAGAAATATTACCCTGAAACACACGTATATACATGTTATGAAATAGGTTTAACTATAGGCGTTAAGAAACGCGGGGTGTTTCGAACATCTTAATAATCTTTCCGCTGCCAACGAGATGGTGGCATTAGCCAATAAGGCCGCCGAAGAAACAATCGTCAAGCGAAAACCGTTTGCATAATTTCTTTCTTTATTTCTTATGTTTTGAGTGGCTATACAGGGCGTGCGCGCCACTTCCGGCAGCCGTGACAGAGGGACAGAAATACTTCCCCTTCTTGTATGTTTACCTCGTGTTCGGGTGGGTGCGCTACGAGCTGCTCTAGACATGCCCCAGTGTCGAGCTTTTAAGTGGGCGATGCGTACCGGCACGAACAAAATGTCACGAGTGAAGTTGTTCGGATTACCCGGAGAGGAGGGACGCCACCGACACCACCGAGCCCGGGTGATCGTTGGGCGACGGCATTTTCAGACGGTGTTAGCCTACATCGATTTGCTGCCGACAGATGGCGCAACGCGAGAATGCAGTGCCGGCACCTGGATGGACCATCTCCGTAAAACGATTGACCATTACGGCACGTACAAATGCAACGTTCACGGTTGTCTGGGAAAGGAACCGCGAATACCAAAACCCAGCAGTTGAAAACACTAGAAAATAAAGTCGCGTCACGCTAAAGAAAGCGTAATAAAATTTTTCGAAAGATTGTCTTCTAAAAACCCTAAAACCGAGACCCTTCTAGGCGACCCCTGCGAGGAAGCTCGGCAGTTAATGTTCGGCGTCTAAAGGAAATAGGTACCGCCGATGTCAATTGTCGTTCACGAAGTAATTAAACGCGTTTAGGGATTTGTAGGTTTTCATTCGTTCTCATATATATCTGGACCAGGCTTGTCGAATCAGTAGTCTTGAAGATCCGCCCACGATACCTTCGGCAGATTTGTAATTTTCTGGAGGAACAAGTGCCTTTTATTTTCACCCCAGGGAACAGGAAGGGATTCCGATCCCGTATACGTAAATTTGAGGAAGTGCCGAGTTAGCTATCGGCGGTGAGACTTTTAAGGTATGCGGTACTCATTAAGGGTCCTCAAAATCAAGAAAACACAATAGCCAACCGGAACTAAAATACTTCTCCCGAAAGACCGCCCAATTTTTGTTTTTGTTTACCTCCGCACAGCCTGCATAGTTGTGCCGTCAACTCTAGCATTTGTGATAAAAAGCCGTTAGCTGTGGATTTTCTCATAAATTAAACGAGAAAACCTGCGCGACAGTTGCATTCCTTAAAATGTGCCATATCTAGTTTAATCATTTTGTCGCAACTGTGAGAGACAATTAGCTCGAAAGTGTTCGCAAAATCGGTTACAGAAATCACCAAAAGACACAATTTTTTGTATTTTTTTTCACATAGAAAAGAAAGAAAGACTCGCGCTTATTGGAGTTGGCTCCCGTGGGATATCATCCCCTTCAATGAAGGCGTCTAATACTTGGGCCACACGGGCAACTCGAATGCCATTTACAACGAATGACATTCGTGTGATCAACGAATTGGCTCGCGATCGTGGAACGGCCCACGCTCCGAGTGTCGCGCGCTGATTGGCCGATCGTTCAAATGTCATTCGTTGTAAATGGAATTCGAGTTGCCCGTGTGGCCCAAGTATTATATTTCTTACTTCTACAATAAGCGACAGCCGATGAGACTCGTGGCGAGGCAAACCCATCTTACTTTCGAACCAATCTTCGAATACGGCCTTACATGATAAGGATGCCGAAACAAGAAGCCACACTCTACGTTTCTTACAACGAGGTAGAGGGGCTTCGGGCGATGAACTGGTATCCCGTTCACCAGGCAAAAGTGACCCCCATTTGGCTGCCGCCATGTTGTACACTTTTGACCACTAGACACGTGACCGCACCAAATCCCGAGGCTTTTACGCAAAACTGAGCCGAAAGTCGCATGGCGATCGCTGTAAAAAAATACGATAAACTAGTTTTTCAATACTATTAGCCCCAGAGATCAGTGTCTTGCTCCAATAAAAACCCAAAATACAGCACCGCGGCTGACGGCATCTAGCGGAGGCATTGCGAAGCTGCCCGAGTTTTTGTCGTAAAAGCAGATTTTAAACTTAAAACAAACGAAACATAACTTATCTCGTCGGTACTGCTATCAAAGTTCAATAAGCAATTATCTGTGCGCGGTACTTCGCTAAAATCGAGACGTAAAACTTTAAGATCACGTGTCTAGTGGTCAAAAATGTGCAACATGGCGGCGGTCAATTGGGGTCACTTTCAGCTGCTAGTTAATCTCTCTAAGGCCCTCTACCTCGTTGGTTTTTCAAGATGTCCTTACCAATCCTGAAAGAGCTGAACGAGTTCTACCATTTATTTTTCTACAATATAGCTTGGCGGCATCTTTGTTGACTCGGGGATTATATAATATTGACCGAGGTATAAAAAGAAACATTCGAGATTAATTGTGATCTCGTATATCTATGTCAGCCGCCTCGGTGGCTCCGAGGCGAGAGCACCGGCCTACGGATCCCCATGTGGCGGGTTCGAATCCCGGCCCACGTCCCCGCATAACTGACGGAGGCTTATTGCGGAGAAGGCGCCGTGTAACCGAGCTTTCGGTTGCACGTCAAAAGATTCCCAGGTGGTCGAAATTAATCCTCAGTCCTCCGCTGGGGCGTGCTAGATGCCCGTCGTTGGTTTGGCACGTAAAACCCCCAAATTTGACTTTCGTACATCTATGTCGAAGCCTTACCTTGGACTTCAAAATGCCAGCCGGCCCCACCACGTGTTCAAAGAGATGCGAAGCAACGTGCGCATCGACCGAGCTGAACGGATCGTCCAGGAGGTAGACGTCAGCGTCGTGGTAGGCTGCGCGGGCCAGGCTGATCCGCAATTTCTGGCCGCCGCTCAGATTGGTACCCTAAGGAAACGAAGGTTCAGAATTCCCTCCCATAAGCTTATTAGAGCTTATTTCAGAAACACGTCGTTTATTATGTTCGTGCCTCTTGAATCCTTCTCTGGCGTGCTTATCGGCTATTGGCGACGAGATGTTTCGGTGGCTCCGTCTTGTGGTTCCTGTCTGTGACGTCACGACCAGAGTTACGAATAGCCAGAGTCAGTGCACTTCAAGAAATGCCTGCGCGTTTACTTACCCGCAAAACACTCAAATAGCCAATCGCTGGAATCTAGGAAATCAGATCAGCGAATGATGAGGCTGAACATCTGTTTATACCTCAAAATGAAGTCTGCGCTGTGGCATTACGCAACGCAAAGCGTCATGCTTGCACTGCGCAATGCCACAGCGCAGACTTCATTTTGAGGTATAATCAGATGTTCAGCCTCATCATTCGCTGATCTGATTTCCTAGATCCCAGCGATTGGCTATTTGAGTGTTGTGCGGGTAAGTAGACCCGCAGGCATTTCTTAGTGTGGGAAAAAGCACGGTGGAAGGTTGGAGTCATCGCGTCATTAAACCTACACCTTCGGAGTTGACAGTCTCTCTATAATCTTATCGCCATTAGTAAAAAAAAAAGTATAATTGTTAGTAAGCGTTTGGGCAATTGTGGAAGGCCGGTACCCCCCCCCCCCCCCCCCCCCGCCAAAAAAAAAAAAAGTTATTTTTTGTTTTGTTTTTTTACTGTCAAAATAAATTCGCCGAACGCTTATTCTCGGCCCAAATGTGGCGCTGCGGTACGCACTTGATGCCAAAGCTTCGGAACTAACTAACGATTCAGATGAAAGGTTTTGTGTGATTTTCCGAAACTAACGACATTCAGCTCCCTGTGTTCGAAAGCTCTTCGGCCCGCCATTTTCCCATTCAAAGTTTCAGAAAACCGCTTATAACTTTTGCATAAGATAACAGCTAGTTCTGAAACTTTGGCATCTGGATCGGGCCGCTAGGCCTACATTTGGCCGGAAAATGACTGTTCAGCGATGCATCGTTTCACTTTGCGGTGAAAACAACCTTGTAGTTTTTTGAGGCGGACACTCGTTCCTTTAGACAAAACAACAATGCCCTGCCCGCATGAAAAAAAAAAAAAAAAAAAAAAAAAAGCGCCACGTTATATTTGATTATCGCAGTTTTCAGATCTAATTGTATTTTGAGCTTTGTCATTCGCTGTGACCCTTCTATAGTTTGCCGTAATTGACTGTCTCCGTGCTCAAAAAAAAAAAAAAAAATCACGCCATTTTTTTAAGTGTGTCCGGTTTTCTTGCTTGAACTTCTCCGGCATGTCAGAACATCTACTTCCTTTATTGCAATAATGTATAAGGTTTCACGGTCTCGCTGGAGCTGACTTCCTGACATGTAAAAAAAAAAAGTGTTCTATCACTTCGCTGGCTTCAGCTTCCGGCAGCCTTAATAATCTATGTTGTCATTGACATCTTAAGAAGCGCAGGGCATGGTGAAATCCCGAGCGTCTTATTATAGTTTCATATCCAAGATTGCTGCAGTACTTGTTAAGAACTTTAAAGAGCGAACCACGCGGAGCAATACGCCCGAAGATAATGCCGAAGAACGAATTGCAAGAAGCTTGGACATAATCAGAAACGCCCCACTTTTCTAAAGTTTTCATTGACTATAGAATCTATTAGGCCTAAGCGTTTATTTGTGCATTACACGAAAACAAGTCCTCACCCTGTCTCCGACATAAGTGGCGTCCCCCTCAGGGAGCATATCCAGATCAGGCGTGAGGGCGCAGGCCTCTACGATCTGCCGGAATCTGTGGTCGTCGCTAGGGTTGGTAAAGACGATGTTCTCCTTCAGCGTCGCATTTTGAATCCATGGCTGCTGTGCGACGTACGCTAGTCGACCCTTGGGAAACAGAACGGTATTTAAGTGAAAGTGAACTCTATGCTCGGGTTGCAACTCATTGTGGCATTTCCGACGAGCATAGGTTTATTCGGCGCTAAAGCATGCGCTACCATGCTTTGGACTGCAGAGCCACATAAAGCTGTCCCCGGGTCTAAGCACACTAAACGTGCCACTTGGGGGCTTTTTCTTATTACTTGTTAGTGTTATAAACAGTATTCCTAGAGAAACTGTTTGAGCTTGTTATTATGCACCGGCAGTATATCGTTGCTGCCGTGTTCGGGGCATCTGAGCAAAACATAATATGAAATGAACAAGGAGATATGCAAAGCGAGCATAATTTACAACTTTAAAATAGCACGTTGAACGTATCACCTTTTTCCGCGTTTTCCCCGAAATGTAAACCGAACAATGTATTGTGTGGCATAATTAAGCAGAGAAAGTTACACCAATCGTTCACCATCTTTGGTTTGTTATGCTAAAGTGCGATGCAAATAATTTTGTTGATTACGAGCTCATAATACATTGAACTCTAAAGGTTGCTGGCCCTTTCAGGTTCAGACATTATGAACTACTAGACATCTTGAAGCTTCATCCCTCTGCACCGCTGTTACCTGATGCGTTTTGTTACAGCTCCAAATTACAATCCACCTTTCCGGAAAATCCCACAAATCCTTTCGTCAATTCTTCATTACTACGCTCGGAGCGGAGAATTGTGGGGCCGTTCGGATGTACGCTCGGGCCGAGTTCAACACTTCATACTTCTTGGAAGTGGCTAAATATCTTCTCTCTTTCCACTCCGAGTTCAAAGCGAACACACACAAAGCCGATACGCCCTCTGTTTTTTTTTTTTTTTATCGTCCGGCTTTTTTTGCGTTTTGAAATCGCGAAATACTAAACCAACATGAACTGCGCCGTATACCGAATAACCGTAGTGCGCCGAGAAGACGATCGAGGCGCTGCGTATCTCCGGATTGGTCTAGTGGAAATATCACTAACGCGTGCTAGAGTTCTTGCTAACATCTCTGGATGGGCCGTGCCCTTCCAACTCTAGCCCATCTTGAACAAACGGTGTCTTCGCTACGGGTCACCCACCTTTACATCCACAGAGCCCGATGTCCTCTTGATAGTCCCAAGGATAGCAGAGAGCAGCGCCGACTTGCCAGAGCCCACAGCTCCCACAATGGCAACCAGGCTACCGGCCTTGAAGTTAAGGTCTACGTCCTCCAGAACAGGAGTGTCGTATTCTGACAAACCAAAGGTGGCCCGCTTCACGGTGATGGCGTCTCCTGAGCATAATGCACCAAAATACTCTTTAATTGCAGTCACTGGCAAGATAAGAACGGCACGAGTCTCTTTCGAATTTCATGCTTCCAGCACGCGCTCGATGCCTTGCGCCGTGTTTTGGCAGCGCGTTCAGGCTCGAGGATCACGGAAGGCCAAAGTGCAATCAAAAGTGTACGGAGCTCACGCTGGAAGCGGGGCAACAGAACGACATCCTTGCCGTTCTCACCTTCTCAGTGACCATGGTTACAGTTTACTGGTTGCGTTCGTAGAGCGAGTTCACTAACTGCGGTTAACACTGACGTGGACGGAGGGCGACGGAAACGGAGGGAGAGCGCGAGGTAGATATTTAAAAGGATAAATATACACAAAAAGAACAGTGGGAAATGGAGGGTTGGTCGAGTTGGCTCTTCTTACTTATAACTTTAGTGCGCAAGAATAATTCACGCTGAAACATGCACACCAGTAAAATGCATCACTCATCCAGCTCTCAGTATTAATTCAGTGTCGTATTTCGTCTTCTTCTACACTTCTGCACATCAGCCACTATACGTTATGTTATCTTTGTTGGTAAGTAAGACAACTCTTTCTTGGATAAGGAAAAGGTTGTCTTATTCAAGAAAGAGTTGTTTTACTTAGCAATAAAGAAAAAAATGTATTCAATTGTCCGTGTTTCAGCGAGAATTATTCTTGTGCGCTGTAGATTATAAGACAGCAAAAGTGTGTTAATAGGAATAAAGCTAAGTTAACGCGAAAGTAAATGGCAGAGAAGAGTCGAAGAGAACATGGAGAGTGCTTGTCAAGAATTTTTACACGCGCGAACTAAACTCCGTTTCGTGCCTAATGTAAAACGCTATGAAAGCCACTGGCGTGAGCGCGTGGCTTGCTCGATTTGCGGGGAGAAGCTCGCCTAAGGGCGCTTCCCTTTTCTTCACTCTGTGTAGTGCATGTCCTACCCACGCGGTTATGTTTAAAATTTCGTAGTGCATAAAAGCTAGTCGTCGCGCGTGCTTGCACCAGACTAGGTGGAAGTAATCCTCACTGTGGGGGGGTTGTGAAAAACTTCCACCAGGCGGCGATACCCGAACTTCTCGCCACGCGTATTCACTGAGAGGATTAGAACGGCAGGTAGGTATTTCAGTTGTCCGCGCCTTCAGCACGAGCATCGCGTACCTTCGATAACGCTTCGGCGTCTCGTTGAACCTCGAGCATGCACTCGCACCTAAAGCACGACGGAAGGTAACGGGGAAGCGCTGGAGGCCGGTCATTGGAGAGAAACGCCCTGCCGTTCATACCCTATTTGAGACCATTTGCGCGCGAGCGTAGGCTGTTGGATATCGAGTCATCTGCTTCTTGAATCCGTTGCGTTGACGTCAGAACGACCTCGAGCTCTGATTGGCTTCGATTGAAAGGATACTGGGTAGACCTCAATGGTAGATGCCTTGAAGTCCACCCACTATTTTGTTAATAACAGCTCGGCATTCTGACATCATCGCAACCCCTGTGCAAGAAGCAGACGAACTTGCGCTCCGCACACTTCGTTTCACTTTAAGCGCAACCGAGGCCGAAGCTATAAGCGCGAGCATGTGGCCCTGAAGCGTGCTTGCACTGCACGAGAGCGCGTGCTTGGAATGAGCGCCGAAAGCCCGGGGCTCGCTCTTAAGCTTACCGCGCTCACGATAAAGCATAAAAGTTTGGGAGGTCCCTGGAGCCATTCTAAACAATCGGGGAGTTCTCCTGTCTATTTATTCAAAGGCCACGGCTGTCTTTAAACGAATCGAGACCGATTCTTTTTGTCGTGTTTGATTAGGAGTATCCGATTTGGCTAAAGGCTTCAGGAGGCTTCCATCGTTGTCTGACACCTACAGGGCTCCAAGCCCAAGTTTTACTCCCCCAGTTTTGCCCATAGGGCGAATATGATAGTAATAGAATGAAGAACGCGAGCTTTTAAAACGTCACCGAGGGCGCGAGAAACGCAGGGCGTGACCTTTTACGCTCCTTGCTTCGGCATTGGTTGTTGAGCTTTTATGTTGGCTGCCTTCTCATTGCTGCCCCTTCGGTGCTGCCCTCTCATTGGCTGCGAAGCAATATTCAGATGCTCCGGGCTTGCCACGCCGTGTGTTCCTGAGGCGGTCAGTGACTACGTGAATACTGAGGTAACCACAATGAAACACCAACACACTATCGACAAACAAGTCCGCGTCTGCCCACACCGCGCGTGGGCACTGCGCGTGCGCAGCAACCAGTTCCGCGTCAAGCGACTCTTCTGCGCATGAGCCGCGTCGACAGCAGTGCCACCGCAGCTGTGACGTCAGAGTCGCGTACGTGTTGGTCCGACACACTGATCTCCATGGCTGTGTTCGAATTCGTATACCCAAATAATCCGAGCTATTCCGGCGGGTCGTGTCACATGATAACACAGAAAGAGTGAAGCTGGTAGGTTTTCGAACGCAAGGGTGCAACACACTTACCCTGGAGCAAGATCGAGTAAATTTTGAAACACAGCCCATGGCAATTGCTGGATCGCGCTTCCCCGCTCCGCGAATGCAGTTATTGGACGGCCATCTTGGGACACGGGAAATCGACCTTTTGGAGCGTTGCGAGGCTGGGCGACAACGTGCTGAAGGCGCGTTTTCTGCTCGTTTCTTCGTCATTTGCCAAAGACGTTTTTTAAAACCTTGTGGAAACGGTGAAAGTTGTCTTTAGGAACACGTGAGAAGTTTTAGGATAGCTCGGCACCGCAGTAAAAAGAGGCAACTCGTAGAACGCAAGTCTCGCCAATCACTTGGCGTGATCAAAGCTTCCTTTGCCCGCCGAAGTGCTACGTCTCTGTGCCTTCGCACGCTTGGATACTTATCAAGAATCGACGCCGTAGAAAAGTTTTGAAGGTGTGTCGCGCGTCGATGTCTTCTGGATCGCCCAGTGTTTCCGGCGAATTGCAATCAATAAAAGAAAACAAAAATCAGTGGTTGCTTTTGTGCACGATAAACCATGGCTATGTTCCAAACCTACTCGAATGGATCACATGAGGGCACACACAAATAGAGCAACGCTGTGTAGGAAAGTAGGTTTTCGAACACAAAAGTATTGTACAGCGAGATCGAAATGTTTTTTAAATGCGGGCCATTTGCTCGTGTGCAATCTGTCGCCGTCGCCGTACCCCCCTACCCCTCTTTTGTCGCCACTGGGTCAAACTCGTTTCTGGACCACGAGTGCCGCAAATGACAAATAGAGCCCTAAGACAAAAGTAAACCGCTGCCTCTAGGGCAGCGGTTTACTTTTGGTTGCCCTCGCGAAGCAAATCCCCGCGGAGTCGATTCTTGATCGGTAACTAAGCGTTCGAAGGCAGAGACGCAGCACTTCGGCGTGCCAATGAAGCTTTGATCACGCCACGAGACTGGCAAGACTCGCGTTTGACGAGTTGCACTTTTTCTCTGGGGTGCTGCGCTTTCCTAAAACTTTCCACCTGTTCTCGAACGAAATTCTCACCGTTTACACGGTGTTTTAACAAACTTCTTCGGCTAACGACGATGAACAAGTAGAAAACGTGTCTTCAGCACGCTGCCACCTCGCCTCCGCAGCACTCTAACACGTCGATTTTCCGTGTCCCAAGATGACCGTCCGGTTGCCGCACTTGCGCTGCAGCGACCAAGCGGGGATGCGACCCAACAAATTGTCATGGAGGTCAGTGGTTTGACAGGTGTGTTTACTACGCCCAAAAAAATGTTCCCTCAATTCCCGCCTGGTGACGTCATAGAAGTGTCATGTCGTCACCAGCCACGATCCTGGCGGCGTCCCAGCAGCGGTGGTGGATGTAGCAGACGTCTGTATTCCTGCGGGTCGCTCTTCAGCTTGGCAGTCCACGGAAGCTTTGGCCGCCAGCAGTTGTGACGCTGTGACAAGAGCGACGCTCACGTTCGTACGAGCTTTTCGCCAGCAATCCTACGTCCAACCGCCAGGATCGCGACATCCGACATCATGACACTCCGGCTTCTGTGACGTCATTTGTTGCTTCTTCGGGACCACTATTGATGCATGGGCAGAATAGGACGCTAAATGATAGTAGTCGAAGACGCGCTTTAGGCACCGTGCTATATATATATAAAAATACCTTTCTCTGGGTTCGTTCCTACGGCGTCGTCGTCCAGTTCCTCTGCATCCAGGAATTCGGAGAGCCTTTTCAATGACACCGCAAACTGCGCGTGAGAACAGAGTAAGTTCCGGTACTGTACATGGCTTGTGAGCGACGTCATCGCACAATGCTTGCGGTCATTTTTTCATGTTCTTGCGGAGAACAAATTTTGTGGTGCGAGGTGTATGCTTCATGATAAGGTACACTCTCAAGAAAAAAGGCTGTAAAAGGGTGTATCGTTACACCCTTTGTCCCATATAATACACCCCAAAACTTCAATTCGACCGTACTGAGCCCTATACTCGAACAGGCGGCCCCATATTTTAGAAGGGGCTTGATACCGGTGCGATACAACTTTTTTAAATAGCTAAAGTACGTATAAAAGACCACATAAAGAAAACACCGAGTTTTTACAGTAGAGCCAAGAAAACCCGGATTATTTTTTTTTAAGTCAGCAAAACGTACATTAGCTATTTAATAAGTTGTACCACACAGCTATCAAGCCCCTCGTAAAATTTTGGACTGTCTGTTCGACTGTATGGCGCTGTACGTAGTATTGAAGTTTTGGGGTGTATTATATGGGGCAAAGGGTGTATTATGCACCCATTTACACCCTTTTTTCTTGGGAGTGTACGCGCTCAGCGTACCTTATCATGAAGCATACACCTCGCACCACGAAATTTGTTCAGAGCGACATAGAGAAAAGGTGTATATAATCCAATAGACCGATCTCACCAAGCGTTTGGCGCATGCGTGACACCGCCATAACTTTAGTTCGCAGGAGACGGGCAGCAGTGCACGAGACGGCTCGTGCCTCCTCATGCTCTGCATGCGCTGAGCTCCAGCCAGGTTGTCGCACGTGCAGAAAGACTAAAGTTCCCTCGATGCATTGCGGCAGCGGTGGCGTAGTCAAACTGGCTGGTGAGATCGGCCTATTATATATTTCTTATTGCATATCACGACTTCACCTGTTGCACATGTGCGCCCTTGTGACAGTGTTACGAAGCGCTATTCCTATCGGATTAATGTTCGCCGTGATCAAGATTTTTCCACTAGTTGTCCTAACTGCGGATGGAAGAGATCGATATCACTAAGCGTCGGGCGCGTGCGTAATGCCGTTATAACTTTAGTTCACAGGAGGCTGGCGCCAGTACCTGAGAGGCTCGTGCCGTCTCGTGCTCTGCGCGCGCAGAGATCCAGCAAGGTTGTCGCCCGTGCAAAAAGGCTAAAGTTCCCTCGGGGTTGTGTGGATATTTATACAGCCTGTAGTTGGTCAGCCATTTCAAAGTTGCGACGAGGTCCCTCGATGCATTGCAGCAGCGGTGGCGTAACTAAACTGGCCAGTGAGATCGGTCTACTTTGCGTTTCAAACGCATAGATAGGACCGAGTCCCACTAGAGCGACAACCGGAAACAACCAACACCGACAAGCCTAAAAAAAATCATATGAAGAAATCGGAGGACAAATTGCAGAAAAATCATCAGTAAACATTATAGAAAACATGCCACTAAACCTGTCGAGCACACATATCAGGAATTGTGTCACCTGGTTCATTTTTAAGCTAAAGTGAAAGTTCGTCACGGGGATTCATTACATTCCAAAACCATTTGGGATTATTAGTTAGCATGACTGGGAGGCACTCCTTATAAAAGTAATATTTAGCTTCTCCAACTGCGTTTTTGTTTTCACTGGCTGCAATGTTATAACTTGCCCAATATCCTTGCGTGTTAGTGCGCTTTGCGTTTCTGAACAAGCGTTTCTTTCTGTTCGAGAGCCTTCGAAGACGAAGAGTGAACAACGGCGATTGAGCGTTTGAACAGAGTGGGATGTGCTCATAAATCAATGAACTTGCTGTGTCCTTAAAAAAATCCCAATTAGATTAAAGAGAACGCTCTAGAAATTGACAAATAGAACTGACAATTGTCTTCATTTTTGGGTTTTGGGTTTCTTTCCACACTTTTTACGACGTGCGGTGTGTGAAGTTCGATTTCAAAATCGTTTCATGGTCCATTTAAATACTGAATCTGAATATTTTTACTCAGCAGAGCTATGTACAGACTACCTAAAATGGAACAGTCATATAGAACGAGCAATAGTAAAAGCTAATTAATCTTTTGTTTTATGCGACGAAATTTTAGATCTTCGTCACACAACGTTAAAGAAATACTCTACTTTTCTTTAGTAAGAACGATCCTAGATTAAGCGTGCGTCGTGTGGGACTCGTTTCACGACTTTCTTATTAACAAACTCGAGAAAGTTCAGAATCGGGCAGCGTGCTTTGAGCTTCACAATTATGACCCTTATGCGAGTGCTGCCGAAATGAGGGATAAGAAACGCTCAAATGTTGAAGAAAAAAAAAAAAAAACTAAGATTAAATTTTTCAATCGTATATATACAGTATATATAAAAGGGATTGATAAAACCGCCTATTTTCTGGAGCCCATCCTACGTCTTCTCCCGGTGCGATCATTTTGAAAGAGGTTGCTGTACCTGACAATTTTGCCTATTCATTCCTTGTTAATATCGCGATTGAGTGGAACGAGCTTCCGGACAACATTGTGTCAAATGACGATAGTGACTTATCCTTTTCTTACTTACCACACTGTATTCTAAAAAAAAAAGACACCTATTGTGATGCTTACATTTTGTATTTCGCCCAGTTAGGTACTTTGTAAACAAATAAATAAAGAAATATTCTTTTAGAAATGTCGGTACTTTTTAAATAAGTAAATAAATAAATAAATAAATATTTGTAGTCTACGTCGGGCGCCGTTTTCCCATTGAAACATTCTGAAAATCGCCTATAACCTTTGAACGAGGTAACGACAAGCTTCAAAACTTTCATCTGGTCCGTACCGCTAGCGATTCACTTGAGAGGAGACTACGCGTTGGGCGGTGCGTAGTTTACTTTTGCGGTAAAAGCGACACTATTTTTTTTTTGGGGGGGGGGGGGGGGGGGTGGTGGACACTCTGTATCGTAGAGTAGACCGGGGTGAGGGCAACACCACCTAAAATAATCAATCTGCGCACCAAAATGGAGTCCATCACAGTGAGATCGAGCGAAGGTGCGGATTGGATACGAGTGCTGCGTCAGTGTTCGGCTGCGCCTCGTGACCAATCAACGCGTCGAAAGACCCTCGGCTTCAGGCTCGGGTCCGATTGTCAAGTTGGCGCCCTCCGACTGTAATGGCGTTCCATGGAAGCGGGGGAAGTCGCTCGCAGACCTCTATTATTTTCGGTGTGGGTCAGAACAACACGTTAAAAAAAAAAAAAAAAAAAAAAAAAAAAAAAAGGTTATCGTCTTACCCGGATGAATTTGGACACGATGTCCGGCAGGGTGTACATCGGAAAGCGAAGAAGCAGGAAGAAGGAGAGGCAGGGGAACGTCAGGGAGGGCGTGAGCTGGTGGGCGGGGCTTACCAGCAGGAACGTCACGAACATCGCCCACAAGGCCTGAAAGCAACCATGATCGAATCATGAAAAACGCTAATATATATATATATATATGATTCATTGCTCCATTTTTTTTTCTTTGTTATAATCAGCTTTTTTTAAGATTGTGCATTGACTCAGCAATTTTAACCGATTAATTGGTGACATTTAACTGAAACGTTAATCGGTTAAACGGTACGTCATGTGAAGGCTTATAGAATTATTAAAATATCGCTGAATTATAGGTGTAACACTCTATATTTTGGGGATCACGATTGCTGCGATTCTTTTATACTCTTGACACTGTAGGATCAGTACTTTTAGCGAAGCAATTTAATTTATTTGTTTCTTTGGCATACATTTATGCAGTCAGCGGGTGACGCAAGAGGTGATAAAGAAATATTTTACGAACCTTAAGTTGCCCGCTGGGACAGCACAACTGAAGTAACTGAGAAGCGTGATATATGTATTATTTACCAATTAAGATTTTTATATAAGTAATTGAAATGTAAAGTTCCGGATTTTAAATAAATCGCCGTGATATTTTACCGAGGACTTGATGTCTCATACATCATGCAAAAGAGACGGTGTTCGTTGCAGATATGATCAGAGAACTATCTGCAGACAGGCTTTAAGCATGTTCAAGCATACGTACGTTTGCTTGAACATGCTTGAACACTGTTTGTATGACGATATATCATCCTCTATACTCACAAAACCTTGCAGTTTGACGACGGAGCCATAGAGTGCCCGGTCGCAGATTTAGAGCGCGAGCATCTGGTAGCACAGAGCATCAAGGGACCATTTCTCCGGGAACCCGGACGTCAGCGCTCAGCGTTTGCAGCGGCGAGGACCCGAAACACGCTTGTTCGCTCGGGAGAAGTGTGCTTCGGCGTCTCGCCGCAGCGGGGCGCCATTCACGTGGCTCTCCTCTCATCCGTTGTCTGCCGCTCCACCTTTTTCATTTCGGCGGCCGCTTCTCGTGGTGATATGCCAGGCTTTGTCAGTATATAGGACGCTATGGTATGACCAGTACCACAGGACCGCCACACAAGAAACAAGCACGCCTCGGACTGTCTGCATGCTGTCTCTTTTAAGCTGTATTAGCAGTAGGACTGTGACTTTACCTTAAGAAACGGTGGCGCGAGAGACGTGACAGAACACCTTAATTGTCAACGACGCCTTTATATTTGAGTGATTAATTCCTCGATGTTGAGCTTGATGTTGACGAGGGTAATGCCCTTCAGAACTTCACAAAATGACCCACTTTTGATTGAGTAAACGGTTGAGACTTTAATCGGCGGTTAGTGCATTCATCAAATACTACACTTTAAAAAAAGTTTAGGGCGTCTTCTTTTTTTCAAAGCAATTGGGAGGATCAATCGCTGCAATGTAGGGAGCGAGCTCGGCGAGTGGCGATGCTGGAACATGTCTAAAACTAAAAGATAAAAGAGAAACAGTGCTTTGTTGCATTCAGGTTCGACCTTTCGCGATGCTCAGTGCCACAGTGTGGACTATTCTTCAGGTGTAAACGTATGTATGTTCAGCATCTTAGTTGGCCGAGATTCCTCTACAGATTGCAGTGATTGGCTCAATCTGGTGCATTGCGGAAAAGCTCCATACTTCTTAAGGTGTACACTCTTATAAAATTGCCCGTACGTCTACTTTTCCGCGGAGCACTCGGATAATCAATCACCGCTGTTTATGGAAGGGGTTTCACGAATGGCGGAAATGAAAATAAGTTTAGACCTAAAAGCAAAGCCTATTATGTGACACTGCGCATTACGTGAACATGTCAAGCGTCGCGTTGCTAGTTGTACGTTAGCTTGAAACCTTCCATAAGCCTTTGCGTGTGAGTGGAGGCAATGTAACCATATAATGTACTATCAATTAGGGAAGATGGAGCGAATCACAAGATGCTAGTCTACAATAGATGGGGTCTGCAGTGTCACATCACTTTATTTTTAGGTGAAAACATATTTGCAGCCCCGCCATTCTCCAACCTTCTTCTGTTGACCGCAGTGTTTTCGCTTGACTGTGGTTAACGTGCTAACCACAGTCGACGTTAACATGACGGTGGTTAACGTGTTTGCGTTTGACTGTGGCCGGCTGCTTTGGAATCGCTTGTGAGTGCTTACCACGATAGAACACACACTGGCACAATCTATCGGGTGTCCCTGGAACATTTAGGATCTGCGAGTATTTTATAATTTTTTATTCGTCATTTGTTTTTACCATGAGCCTGAAATATTTTTCGACAATGTTAATAAGCGACCATTTCTCCTAGAGAGTGCGTAGATTTGATCATGGAAGTACGGCAAAACCTTCGGTATAGTTTTACCCAAATCGGAAATGCTCCAGGGCTATCCCCTAGATAACACCAGTGTGCCATGGCACGCTACAGTGTCATCTAGCAGTGAACTCACTGAGGTGAGTTCACTATAGGGTCCAGATCGAAGAGGGGGTTCATCTGAAACCATAGGAACACTTGCAGCTTAACGGCGGACGCCTCTTGCGGACATTGGTCTGAATTGCGCATGCGCTGCGTTTTCGCGTGGCGAGGAAAAAAGCGGGCGGAAAAGCGGAGACGTTTACAGACGATCAACGATTTCGTCACCTCCTCGCAGTTCTTATTTCATATGTGGCCCATAAACCACGTGTCTCCAATCGAGCAGTGGGTAACTCTATGCGATACAAGCTCTCCAGTGTTCTGTCGTCATAAGCAGTCGCGAGCACTTGAAACGCAGTCTTTCACACGTGAGCACAAATCGGTGAGCTAGCCTTGAGTGTCTTTTGGGAAAGGAGACGCAGGGACATTTTTGTGTCGAGCGTATATGATTGATAATAAAGTTGAGACTTGGGCGAGTTGATACATACTCTGGAATTAAGAAAAAGCGCAAAGAAACGAGGACCAGACGAAGAAGTAACACGGAAGCAGCGCTGCGTCGGTATTACTTCTTCGTCTGGTTCTCGTCTTTTTGCGCTGCTTTTAATTCCAAAAGATAATTGATGACTTACCTGTTGATACAATTAATGACAACGGACTACGTTTCGAATATCACATTCAAATGCCCACAAAATCACGTGCTTCTTTGTACGTGCGTGCCGATCATGCTTTGACAGCTGTTTAGCTCGGAGCCGCTCTTGATTCACTTACCATGTTTGGAGTGAAGGTCCAGAGGAAAAAGAACGCTGACTGAAGGAGCGAGAATGTCCTAAGGTGGGAGATCTCGTCCGCTCGGGTCTCGTTCACCTTTTGCATGAAAGGGTGCTCCCAGGCATTCAGCTTGATCACCTGCGTTCGTATTAACCGAATGTTCGTGTTAAGTGAGAATGTATGTCGGAATGTCCGAATAATTGAAAGCATAACGCGCTGGGAGGTACCACGAAGTTTTGAGGCTGAGTGGTCTGAGCGAAGTCTGTTGGGGCATAGCTCTCTTATCCTGAATGATAGTGGCAAGTATCATAAGTATTTTATTTATTTGGGTATGTAAAAATTTGTCATTTTCGTTGGCCGCCATAGCGGAAATGACGCAGGATGTGCAGATTATGCAGATTGCAATGACAAAGTTTACACGGGCTGGTGTGTCGGCCTTGCAAAATAGACTCCGTAGTGTATGCCGGTTTATTTAATTAAAAAATAGTAATAAAACTGCACGTGTACGCTTAAGATTGCTTACGTGTAGGAAGGCGAAAGGCATTATAGTCCCGCGTAAGAAATGTTTTCGAGTAATGTTTCTACACGTATTAAAGTTTAGGACGACGTATAGGACGACGTCCAGGACGGCGTTTTGGAGATCGACGCTAAGTACGGTGTCTAAAACGACCTCTAGGACGACTTCTAGCGCGACCTCTAGGACGACCATAAGGACGGCGTCGAGAATGACGTCTAGAGGACAACGTCGAGAACGACGCGTATAGGACGACGTATAGGGTGACCTCTAGGACGACGTCAAGAACGACGTCAAGGACAACTTATAGGACAACCTCTAGGACGACGTCAAGATCGACGTCAATGACAACTTATAGGACAACCTCTAGGACGACGTCAAGAACGACGTCAAGGACAACTTATAGGACAACCTCTAGGACGACGTCAAGAACGACGTCAAGGACAACTTATAGGACAACCTCTAGGACGACGTCAAGAACGACGTCAAGGACAACTTATAGGACAACCTCTAGGACGACGTCAAGAACGACGTCAAGGACAACTTATAGGACAACCTCTAGGACGACGTCAAGAACGACGTCAAGGACAACTTATAGGACAACCTCTAGGACGACGTCAAGAACGACGTCAAGGACAACTTATAGGACAACCTCTAGGACGACGTCAAGAACGACGTCAAGGACAACTTATAGGACAACCTCTAGGACGACGTCAAGAACGACGTCAAGGACAACTTATAGGACAACCTCTAGGACGACGTCAAGAACGACGTCAAGGACAACTTATAGGACAACCTCTAGGACGACGTCAAGAACGACGTCAAGGACAACTTATAGGACAACCTCTAGGACGACGTCAAGAACGACGTCAAGGACAACTTATAGGACAACCTCTAGGACGACGTCAAGAACGACGTCAAGGACAACTTATAGGACAACCTCTAAGACGACGTCAAGAACGACGTCAAGGACAACTTATAGGACAACCTCTAGGACGACGTCAAGAACGACGTCAAGGACAACTTATAGGACAACCTCTAGGACGACGTCAAGAACGACGTCAAGGACAACTTATAGGACAACCTCTAGGACGACGTCAAGAACGACGTCAAGGACAACTTATAGGACAACCTCTAGGACGACGTCAAGAACGACGTCAAGGACAACTTATAGGACAACCTCCAGGACGACGTCAAGAACGACGTCAAGGACAACTTATAGGACAACCTCTAGGACGACGTCAAGAACGACGTCAAGGACAACTTATAGGACAATCTCTAGGACGACGTCAAGAACGACGTCAAGGACAACTTATAGGACAACCTCTAGGACGACGTCAAGAACGACGTCAAGGACAACTTATAGGACAACCTCTAGGACGACGTCAAGAACGACGTCAAGGACAACTTATAGGACAACCTCTAGGACGACGTCAAGAACGACGTCAAGGACAACTTATAGGACAACCTCTAGGACGACGTCAAGAACGACGTCAAGGACAACTTTAGGACAACCTCTAGGACGACGTCAAGAACGACGTCAAGGACAACTTATAGGACAACCTCTAGGATGACGTCAAGAACGACGTCTAGGACTACTTATAGGACGACGTCTAGGACGACATCGAGAACGACGCCTGGAGGGGGACACTTAAGGAGGCTGTGGGGTATTTGCGTGGGCAGCCCCGTTTGCTTGCGGAAGCCACCGTAGATGTAGACTCTGCTGCCGATATCGAGGCCGTAGATGTAGACGCGGTCGCCTCACAGTCCATCTCACGAAGCACACAGCGAGCACAGATGAAATCTGAAGCGCACCTTTTACACACGGCGGTCTGGGGGTGACATCACGTTGATGATGTATGATGACGCTTGATGACATCACGCTGATGACGTGTTTTTATGGACATCTTTCGGTCACAGTGCGGACGGACGCGGCTTGTTTTTCACGAACTGTGAAGTGAGGTCGTCCTAGTGGTCTGGGGTGATTTCTAGGACGCGAGTGCCTTGCGACGCGGTTTGGCTTTGGCAGTGCTTTCTTTTAAAGGTGTATCCACACGACGGACCAAATTGCTGTTTTGGTCCGCGGGCCGCGCATCACGTGATCTTACGTCACCGCTTTTCGAGGTCCGCCGGCGGTCCGCGGCCCGCGCTTGTGAGAAATGCCAAGCCAGTTTTCTCGCCCGGACCTTGGCGGCGGACCGCGGCGTTTTTAGTATAATTGAAGTGCTAAGTCTGGCAACAAGCTGACTTTTGTTTGGATTGGAATCCAAATCCAAAGTCGTGTTCTTTTGGCGCCAACTGTTGAAGACGAAGACGACAAACCTTTTGTTGTGCGACGATGGCGGCATGGTGCAACGATGCAACTTTTTACTTCATTGCGCTCGTGGAGCGATTTCCCGCTCTGTGGGACAATAGATGCATGCCCTTTCCGGTTCACTTAAGTCCTCCTCGTCTTCAATAGTCAACGCCAAAGCCACCGCGGCCAAAAGTCTCTTTCGTTCAACCTCCATCTTGGCTCCTTACAAATAGCCTCAAAGCAGCTCGTTGCACGCGTTTGGCGGAGCTGTGAGGTCGAGGGTTAGACCGGCCCGTTCACTCTGTCGTCTGCTCTTTTGGTCCGCCGTGTGGATGCTCATTGCAGCCGGGCGGCCCGCGGGCCGCGCATCACGTGATCTATCGGTCCGCGGCCCGGTCCGTCGTGTGGATACACCTTAACCAGTCTCAACTGAGACGCTGTCTCAAGCAAGTCGGCCCTGGTCACTGAACTCCCCAATTTTCTTAAGCGCCTGAACATGGCATATCTGTTACAAACAAAATAAAACGTCCCTGAACGAAAAAAATATAGCGTAATATTAATATTGTGATACTCATTTTGAGTCTCGCGCCGTTTTTCTATTCGTGCTTGTATTTAGGGTTGACGTGCCCAAATAGAAGCACGTTTCTTTTTGTGACATAGGTGTAAAATACTGGCATTAAAATATATTTAATCGGAATGCAGTGTCCCTAAGGGCTTTTTTGAAACGTGTTTTTATTTTAGGGTGACGTGCCAAAATAGAAACATCTTTCAGAGCTGCTCCTAAATAAAAATGTGTCTCGCGATGCATATATTCCACTATTTGTTTTACTTTATTTTGGGACATACGTGCCCTATGCAGGCAGTTAGCAAAAAAAAAAAAGTTTCTAGGAGGTCAGTGCTCCTTTCAGTGCTCCTTTTTTTTTAGCCGGATTGTTTTACAAATTACCACAAAACACCGAAAACCCAAGTTATGAATGAAGTTGTTATTTTCCCAATGTGATATCCAGACAAGGTGTGATAATAGTACCTTAATCCCGTTAAGAATTTCGGTGATCTGTCGCAGCCGGGAGTCCTTGCAAGTCATTAGTAGTTTCTGAAAAACAACAACAAAAACATATATGTCCAAGCCGTCGTCGACCCTCAAGCGCCCCAGGAGCAACTTTTTTGTTTTATGAAAAAAAAAAGAACGACATGCACCTGATCGTTTTAGGGAGAAATGTTTAGCTCTTGTTGAAATGAAAAATATTAGGTCAACAAACTAGATTTGGGCAACGCTTCTCCTGAAACGTCAAATCTCTCTGCAAATCTCTCTCTCTCTCTCTCTCTCCGCTCCTCCCTTCCCCTTAATCCAAACACCTGCCTTGGCTAGCAGTGACATTGCACTGGATAAAATTCTCAGCTACAGTGTTAAGCAGTGTCGTCATACCTGAAAGAGAGACCGACCTTACGCTAGCTAAACGCGAACTTTATTGTGGTCAGCTAGGGTGACTATTTCAAAAGTTTACCTTTAGGTTTTAGGTAATTCATTTTCTACGCATCACTTTACACTCAAAGCCTGACGTCCGCCGCGATCGATACTTTCATCCCGAAAAAAGTAATTTTTTTTAATGTTCCTTTCTTCTTTTTTTAAGGCCGGTTCACGTAAACATTACAGCGCTAAATGAACACTAGAACCAGCGCCGATGCTGCGCTAACTTGAACGTAACTTGGCACTGATGCAATGCCGTACATCAGTGCTGTATCAACAATATAGTGCGTAGTCAGCTCTGTATTAGCAAGGTCAGCACCCATTTTCAGCGCTGACTAGTAGCGCTGAGATGCCGTGTTGGTGTACGTGCGATCAGGTCTTTAAATGATTCTCCGTCGTTGGTGAAACACCGTGTATATGAGCGATATGTCTTTGCCTGTATCACTCTTGTACATGTTGCACGAAAAGAGTAACCGATTACAATCACAATTGCTCTTGCATAAAAATTCTTCAGTTAGATTACTCGATTACTCGAGACGAAAAGTAATTGGCCATATCACTTAAAAAAATAAGCGTCACGTCTCCGATTTCTTCAGATTTTCAAAACGTCAGTTTTCTGCCAGTTTGAAAACGGCTATTTCGCACAGTCCATTACTGGATTAGAATCACCGAATCATGAACTACTTATCTTCTTAATGCAGACATTCAGGGAAGCCATCTTTCTTTCAAAGGTTTGGTTCAACGACTCCTTGGTAGGAATCATTGAACAAAAGGGCGCCATCAGAAAGGGGAGGAAAAAATGAAAGCCGTTTACAAATCCCTGTAACGCCGAATCGGAGCGCAGATCTTGAGGAGGAGTAGGGAAGGGTACTGAGGGGGGTCACGTCACCTGCGGGTAGTCACGTGACCCCGGGGGGGGTCACGTCATCTCGGGGGAGGGGGGTCACGTGACCTCGGGGGGGGGATCACGTGACCTCGGGGGGGGGGGGGGGATCACGTGACCTCGGGGTCACGTGACCCCCCCCCCCCCCCCCCCCGGTTACACCGACGCCGACGCCGACGCCGCTGAGGCTGGAGACGGGCCCCTAAGAGATGTGCTCTAAAAGTAACGATTACAAGTGAGTGTAGTACCTCTAAAGGTAATCAGATTACTATTGTGATTATTTTCTAATAAATGTAACCAGATAAATAAAAATTACGAAAAAGTAATCGATTCCAAGTAATTTGAGTAGTTGTAATTCGTACCGTACCAGTCTGGCCTGTATGCATATATTTGTGAAATTGATGCACTGGTTTACGCGCTACATTTTGTTTCGTTACGTACCTGAAACTTGTCGCAGTAGTACCAGATGCAGGCGGATGCCAGTAGGCAAAAAAGCATGATGACCACTAGAGCGAAACAAGAGGGACCCAAGTAATGCCAGAGGAAGGCAAGTGCAGCGACTATCTTGAGCGGCACGCTCCAGCAGTTGTTGACGGACGTCAAGAACTGCCCCACTTGCGTGACGTCGATGGACATCATGTTCATGATCTGCCCCGCTGTGTACTGCCGAAGGGAACCTCCAGATGTACGTAGAACCTGGAGCGGAGGGTTGATTAAAGTATGCCCAACGGCATTTCGATTAGTTAGTGAATTGTTATTTGGGGCATCTCAGGCTGGGGGGGGGGGGGGGGGGGGGCTTTGATGCCTTATTCAGTCCTTGCTATGGGACCCGTATAATACCCCATTTTGCGGGAACTTAAAAAGGCCTTCAGATCTCGACCCTGCGCGTCATTTCGAGCTGACCACCTAGACACTGCGCGTCGCCATTGACGTGCCCTGGTTCACCAACTTTTAAAGGGGTTCGTTCTGAAGGTCTTTCAAGTACCCGTCAACCAGAGCTACCAAACGAGAATAGAGTTTCAAATAAGGAAGTAAATTGGTTTTGAATAATTAATACCCTATTGAAAAATCTCATTTGTATGAGAAATTTCGGTGTTCAATAAACACGTATGAATCATACAAGATATATGAGAACTATATAAGATATATAAGTACAAATAAGAACCACATAAGAAACCTCTCACAAGTTTCTTATATGGTTCTTATATATTCTTATGTTCTATATATCTTGTATGGTTTATATGTGCTTATTGGACACAAGAAATTTTTTATACAAATGGCTTTTTCACTAGAATATTCATCAACTAGTTAGGAAACAAAAGTCATTATTACGGTTAAGCGATTGTTGCCGGGCGCCATCAAAGCACTAAAGCAAACATTGACAATGACTTACGAACGAGAGCGCTCGACTTTATTAAAACAGTCACACGCAGGGCGTTGAGAGTCCCGAGCACCTTATTAATGCACATTACAGGGAAAAGCTGACGGCGTCCGTCTCTAGACAAAACAATGGAAAGGGAAGCGCGCCGCGTAGAGAGGAGGAGAGTAGTGAAGGACAAAAGGGAGAGGGAAGCTAAGTCAGGGGGCGGAAACCAATGCGCGCGCGGCGAGGCGAGAGGGAGGTTACGTCACGGAGAGGAAGCCAATGCCCGCGCGATTTTAAACCAATAAGAGCCGAAAAACGGTACATGTCTAGCTACTATTAAGGCGCGTTCACACTCTTGCAACCGAGTGCGACCGAGAAAGACTTCTTGAGACCGGATGCGCTGAGCGGAGCTGGTCCTAAGAGATCGCAAGAGGCTTAAAAACCGGTTTGGTATCTCTCGGTCGTACTCGGTTGCAAGAGTGTGAACGGGCCTTTACCCTGTTAGGAGCGGGCCCAGTGCAGGGCTACCCCTACCTAAATTGAGTCTACTCACTTCGAACGGCGTAAATATTGCTCTAATATTTTTAGTGAAAAACTATTTACCTATAATATCATTTTTAATTAAAAACATGTTGGTGTTTTTTTAAGTTGTTTGCGACGATAGACAACCACTGAGGTAACAAATGTAGCTTTTAAAAATACACTAAAATAAAAAATAAAGGGCTTAGTTGTGCTACGTGATTTTTAAATTTTATCCACGAAACAATTTTTTTTGCGCAATAATTTTGTTTTCAGACGAAATTTAGGTGAAAGTATCCCGCCCTAGGCCCTACCCAGGAACGTACTTGACTACGCTACATTTCTCGGTTCTCATTGGCGAGAGCGATAGGTGACGTGTGGAATGTTCGTTGTAAAATTGCTTCTCCGTGCAGTGTTAGTCTTTTAATGGAACATTTTTTTATATTTGAGAAGCAAATAATCTAGATAGAGTCAATATACTTTTTTCAAAAAAGTCTTGAGATTGGTTTTCCGGCGTCCGCTTCGGTTTCAAACGATAACAAACATGACTGACGGCGTTTGTGGCGTGCTCAACGAACCTAGCTAGTTGAACTTATTCATTTTTTATGAGCGCGAGTCGTTCTGCGTTCATCGAAGTGTTTAGAGAGAGATCTCCTCAACTTACCTAGTAGTCTGCAGCAAACAATAACTGTCCCAAGTACGCGCCTTCGGGCGCTGTGCCGGTGCTTGTTCTGGTAGCGGGACTGGTCTATAAGCCTAGTGTCCCCCCCACGCCTAGTGTCCCACGCCATCTATGTTGCTTGATCTGGCTTGACTTATTCGTTTGCGAGTGTAGATGCTGAATAAAGGTGTTGGTTCCCGTAAAAGCGGCCTAGCTGCTCTGTAAATTGTGTATCCGTCATGATTGCAACCATGGTTTTAATACCGAGAAGACACTAAAATAAAAAAAATAAAGTGCTTAGTAGTGATACGTGATTTTTAAATAGACACAGGTAAGAATTTGCGAGTCATTTTGGCGGAAGGCAATCGGGCGTTCGGCTCACATCAAGTTTTTTCAGGTATGTTCCCGCCATTTCGCTCGAAGGGCAAATAGGCCTCAAGTTTTGCCGTGCACCTGGCCTGCCAAAACGATTGATTTTTGGTCGCGTTTTAATTGTGCTCCATGACGCTCGCCGCCCTTGCTCGCAGATGCCGTGCGAGAGGGAAAAAAAAAGAATCAAGAATAAAAGAGTTGAAAGAGCTGCATATTTATTTCCTTAATTTTTTTTAGTCCTGTTGGTGTCTTTACCGCACATCGACAGACGCTGGCAGACACGTGTATTAGACCATGGCTGGTACTTGATGGAACACTAGGGATTCACTAGGGTTGACCAAACGCCATTTCATTGAAACATGTTTCAGAGAACGGGCACGTTGTATCGAAGCTCGGTTTAGAGAATGTAGGGCCTCAGTTTAGAGAAACGCCACTAAAGCGTCTACCCTACGACCGAGCTTACCCAAGCCTTGCTCCCCCCCCCCCCCCCCCCCCCCCTCCCTACCCGCCCCTGTAAACCAGGCGAGACGCGAAAATTCTGCGTCGCCAAAGCCTGAATTTTTTCAATAAAAAAAGAACTAATGCGCGAGAAGGATTGCTGTCACCATTTTCTCAAAACTGGGTTCCTCTCCAAAGGAATTTCGTAAAAGGGGGCCCCTAAACCTGCGTCTGCTAAAATAAGCTTCGGTAAAATAGATGCCTCCGGAATGCTACAACGCCGCTTTCATGGTCGCGTCTTGCGAGCATTGCAGACGACGATGGACGGTGCTGGAATAGCAGACGATGCTGGAGGCTGCCACGCATCTGCTTTGACGACTAGCAGGCGGTGTCAGACACCAGACTAGACGCACCGAAACGTCTGGAGCGTCAACTTTCTCGCAGCCCACTTTGGATAGCCAATCGCTTTGGTTCACGGAGAGCGCTCTGCGAATGATAAGGCTGGGAATATGTTTCGACCTAAAACAAGTCTGTGCTGTCACTGCTGTGGCACTGGGCATGATGTTTAATGCGCTTACGTCGTGCTGCAGTGTCACTGTGTGGACTGATCTTTTAGATCTAAAGCTTTAAATACATTTTCAGCGTTGTCCTTGGCCTCCCTCCGTAGAAGACAACAATACGTGTTCCCATGTGCTTTGCGAAAAAGTAGACCCTCCAAAGTTTTAGGGCGAAGAAGCGCCTTACCTTTTTGTACAAGGCACAGGTAAGAGCCGACTGGACCTTGAAGGCACCGATGCTCATGAAGTACGCACTGTGCGCGTTCGTTACGCCTCCAATGAACTGCGAGAGCCCGTATGCCGCGGCGTACGCGAAGCCGTGCCAGCCGTGCTCTTTCTTGTCTCCGATGTACGCTAGAAGATAGCTGGGAAAACAAGCAGTGTACAGCGAGCGTCGAGCAGTACCAGGGAAAGACATACGCTGTCCCCAATGCGGAGCGCAAGTATCGTCTGCTACTTTTGCAGGGGTTGTTGTGGTCACGTCAGGACGCCGAGCTCTGATTGGCTTTGATTGAAGGATAGTGGCAACGTTATTAGATTTGCTCAGTTACGGAACTGGTCATAGACGCTGCTTGCACGAGCATGCAGTACCCCCCATCACTCACCACGACTCGCCTCCCGTCGCTCGACGCGCCAACATCTGCTGTGGTAACTGCAGTATATTCTATGGAATACATACGATTCGCAGCATAGCGTCTAGATGGCGTTCAAGGTCTGCTCTATAGAGCATACAGTTATGAAACGCAAATCTAGATGGCGCTTCAAACGACGGGAGGCGGACTGAAGTGAGCGAGGGGGGAACAGAGGTAATCTTGTAACGTTGGATAGTGGGTAGACCTGAAGGCAACTTGCTTTGAGGTCTACCCGCTATCCTTCTATCGGAGCCAATCAGAGCTTGGCGTTCTGACGTCACCACGTCCGCGAGAAACGTAGCAGACGATACTTGCGCTCCGCATAGACAAGCGAACGTGTGATGTAAATTCCTGGAATATCTTTCTTTTGAACTGGCAGCTTCACATACGTTGACTGGAACGCGTCTTCGACTGGTCTGTTTAGTGGCATGTAATGGCCATACGTCAAAGGTGGACCCGAAGCGGCAATAAATGACGTTCCAAAGGTCGGATATCGCAATCCTGGTAGATAAAAATAAAAATACCGGCAAAAAACAACAACAACAACGAGCGAGTGTTGTTGTCGTCGCGTATCGCGGATATTCAGCAGCCGAACACCCGAAGTTTCCATGGACCGTCAAGCTGGCGAGCGACACGCAGCACAACCGGCGTCTGCGACATCCGCTGCTAAGACACAGCCAGGATCGGGGCCGGTGACAACATGGCGCTTCTGTGATGTTTGGTGACGTCATGGGGTGGAAATCGAGGGACAATTAACTTTTGTAGCGTGAGCTACACTGGCCGAGGTTGAGCAGTTTCGCGTGGCTCGCATCATGAGCCGTGCTCCGCGCTGCGCATGCGCTAGGAGCAGTGACGTCACACGGCGCACAGCTGGCGCGCCGAAGCCGCCGCCGCCGCGCGCTCCGCCGCGCGCTCCGCCGCGCGCTCCGCCGCGCGCTCCGCCGCGCGCTCCGCCGCCGCCGCGCCCGCCTCGCCGGTCTGCGCATTTCAGAGGATTGACGTCAGAGCCGCGGCAGACGCACTGACGCCGCCGCGTGCCCAGCTGTGCCCCTCCGTTGCGCAATAGCCAAGTCTGGCGCTGCACCGGAGCCGCTAGATAGCGCCTCTCATTTTGTGCGCATAAGCTCACGCTACGTATATCCGGGCATAGCCGAACTAAGCCACCGTAATTTTTTACGGGGATGTAAACACGCCAGTCGGATACGCATTGCAGACGCCGTATACCATCGCACCCTTCTTTCTTTATATATTTATAAGACTGGTAACCCCCTTTTGGAAGATTTCGCAGGAGGGGTTAGTACCATTTACTACGGATAGAAGTTACTCAAAGAGCATAAGGACGGGTATTAAATATGCAAATTAATATGAAAATGCAACATCATCGATAATACAAGAAACACATAATCTTGAGTTTCTTTCGTCTTTTTTTTCCCCACAGAGTACTACAAAAAACAAATAATCACGATATAGAGGAAGATAACTATAGGTGAATAGCGAGGCTGAAGAACGCGTTCTTAGCAAAACTTCGTCTGCGATTTGATGTTCCACGCACTCCCATTAAGCCCATCGTCTCATCGGAATTTCATTTTTACGCCGACACGTTTTTCTTGGCTAAATCTGATCCTCACAACGGTCTGCGAAAAAGCGGACCAACGGTTTCTTTTTCTTTTTTTTTCAAAGTTGGAGTAATCATAATTTATTGAAACGTAACAACTAGAATGAGTGAATAAATATGGAATAAATTTGGGGCAGAATCCGGTAATGTGCCCGTCGAGATATTGATGAGTGTGCAGATGGTACTCACCCGAGCATGATCGGTGGGACGAAACTAGACGCGATGTTTGTGAGTTCCATTAGCGCGGACACGAACGTCTCCCAACGACACATTTCCAGCACAACCTCGTAAAGCTTCCGTTTCGTGTCACGTGTGGCACGAGTTTCCGTGACAAAATCTCCACTTTCGTTTACTAATGCCCTTCACTCGGGAGAAAGAGAAAAAAATATATATATCGAAATTAGAACATGATGTTTGCAGGTAGCAAGGTACAGTTAGTACTGTAGTATCCGATGGTTCAATAAACGGATGCGTGGCCTATAATAATCATGCTTCTAACTTTCCTGATCCGTTCTTCGGTGTTTTTTTCTGTCCAAGCCGCTCTCTGATTGGCTGCGAAGCAATAATAGGTTGTCTGGGACACACCACGCCAGGTATTTCTTATGGTATCAATGACAGCATAAGCATTTAAACAAACATCAAGATTTATTTGTAAGGATAGAAAAAAAAAAAAAACAGAAAGAAGCCCAAAGAAAACGTCTCGAAATACATAATAAAAAATAAACAAAACTAAAAAAAAAATTAGGACACAGAAGATTTCAACACAGGACATTGCCTATACGCCCTGTCCAGTGTGCCTCTTTTTTGTCCTCGTTTTTTTTTTTTTTTGGCGTATTTCGCATTATGTATTAACACCAACTAGCCTCACTGATTTTAAACAGCGCACAAAAAGTCGGCGGAAGAGAAAAGGACAGTAGAACGAAAGAGCGCTGTTCTACTGTCCTTTTCTCTTCCGCTGACTTTTTGTGCGCTGTTTAAAATCAGTGATGTACCAACTAGCTCAAATTACCACTTTACCAACTAGCCCAACTCGCAGTCTTAATACGCCTCAAAAGGCCAGCAATAAATACGTAATCAATTATCGTGCAAAAAAAGAAATCTTTGCGTGTAAAAAATAAAAGAGATTTACATTTTGAACAATTTTCACTGGGGGTGTGCGAATAGTGCGTCGAATCGAATAGCGCAGCGGCGTCCCTATAGCTTTTGCACTGCTGAAAGAACCGGCCGTCTTGGACAGGAATTCACACCCTTGCATTGTCAAGGGTGTGAATGACGCAGTGCTATTCGATTTGAACCACTATTCGCACAACCCTAATAGACAACTTCAATAAACCCCTGCATGCAACACTACAGGCGTTGCGCTCTGGGAACTCTAGAGTGGTTCAAGTCACCAGGCTCGATCTAAAATGGACCGTAAAAATCGACACCTGCACGTAGCAATCTAAACTTTTCGTCAAAGGTCTTATTCACAGGTGGTTTTTTCTTGTAAAATTACAAAGCGCAGTTCTCTTTCTGTAAGAAATAAGGCCAAGAAACTTGCCCGGGTCTACGGTGGGCAGCCACGCTGACGACAGGGGTCCGGTAGTGGGACGTGTTAGGCGTTCGTATTGATAGTTGGCGCTACCTGCTTATCGCGACGGCTCGCAACCACCGTGGTTTATTAAAATGAATATAATCTTTTTGAAATGTACCTTCAGTTAAAAAAATAAATGCGAACAATAAAAGCAAAACTTAAAGTAAAAAAGTCGCGTCTGCATAACGACGGCGCTTTTGCTGCCGACGAATTTCATCAGCGTGTCGTCTGCTATCTTTCATTGCACCTTCCGACGCTGCTCCCGACGCCATCTATCAATACGAACGCCAAACACACCCCGCTACTGGACTTGGTCGTCTGGGTCGCCGCCCGCCGTAGACCCTGGCAAGTTTCTTGCCCAAATTTTTTACTAAAAGAGAACTACGCTTTGTAATTTTACAAGAAAAAACCGACCTGTGAAATACACCTTTGACGAAAAGTTTAGATGGCTACGTGCAGGCGTCGATGTTTACGGTCCATTTGAGATCATGCCTGGTGACTTGAACCACCCTATAGTTGGCCAGGGCAGGGAGGGGAGTGGCATGGTTTCGGTTTCGATCGACAAGTCGAGAAGATATACGGAGAGCGTGGACTATTAACGACCGTTATCTCATGCTTTCAGGTCCCGTAAGCGTCATTTGTGGTCTCGAAACTGACCTAAATGGCCAGACCTCGAAGCTTTAGCAAAAGTCCGAGACGTATAGTTAGTATTAACACATGCTTGTTGTATTTTTGTACTCGAGCCTTTCTGTAAGCGTTTCGAGGAATGTGGACTAGCCAGTGCTGGGAATCTCGACACTGCGAAGCTCGGTGTCTTGCTTGTGTACGAGCTAACAAGCTGTAACAACCAACACGTATGCATACATCGAGCTCGCACCTTTAGATTAGCGTTGCCGGTCAGGAAGTTTGTTTGCTTTGTGCGTCCATAGACGAAATATAACTTTTTGCAATTGTTATTTTTCGTAATACGCCTGAATACGTAAGGTAAAACTCGGAGGCGCCATTGAAAAACTCAATTTGAACACACTTCTTATCTCTTATCTGTACTGACCCGCAGCACTGCACGAAGCAAAGTCCCCACCCGCTTGCATTCCACTAATATTCAAAATCCCGTATGCGAATGAAGTTCATACAAACCGTTTTAAGAAAGCAGAAGTCGAGCACTTGTGTAAAAAACGTCGCACTGTTCCCCGGAAGGGCGCCGGACGTGCGTGAACTCCTATGCGGTGTGCCAAACGAACGAAATTATTCAACAGGCATTTGACGCTCACTAATGGCCATCATATTTGTTATGTGTTCGCCTTCTTCCTGACTATGCTGAGATAATTTCAGACACACCGTAGAGACACAAATCTTGGGCGTGAGTAAAAGCTCGTCCAAAACGGCTTAGCGAGGAGTAGAGGGCACTTGTTAGGGCCTCTGTCGTTGCTCGCCGATCTCAGTGTTTGCGAAAACCTAATCTCCTATCAGCATAAAATTTGAGTGGGAGATTATGGTGACTCGAGGAAGACATCATAGTAACTTTTGTGCAGTAGTGAGGTCGAATTTATTGCGTTTCCTTAAAAGTTCATGCGTCAACGCTGTGCTCAAGTTTGATACCGCTGTGGGGATGCGGCTTGCTTTTCGCCCAATGAACTAACAAGAAGCAGACATTTGGCAAACAAAATACGAGTAAGGCTCAAGATGTTCAAATTTCAGTTGTAGTTCACTAGTACTAGACGGGATTATTTAAATGTAGCTCAAAGATGCACTCGTGGGGTGAGGCGACTAAGCCACGTCTTACTACGTTTGCATACACACGCACAATATACGGTGTTTCGGGAACCAAGGAAAGTGCTCCGGTCTTTGTTTTACATCGCTCGAGAATGAGAATATTGTGCATTACTGAAAAGTCAGATAATTGAAAACGCAAGCTGCGCATTCGGTCATGGCGTCTTAGCATGAAATGAAGCTGCGCAATCGAAACCGAAACTGAGGTGCCAACTAGTTTCCAGAGTGCACTGCGTAGTATTTTGCCGCGATGGGGCGCTTCGATTTTTGAAGAAGTCTATTCTCACCTCAACCTGTCTTTTTTTGTAGTCGCCAGATGGAATGCCGTTGACACCGTAAAAGCTTTTAAGCCCGTACAGAGCGCATTCAAGGATGGCAACTCAAGCTTGTTTCGAAAGCCAAGGACGACGACCCTGAAGAAAAGGAAAAGTGCCATAAAGTCAATCTGATGTTTTTAGAGCGCAGCTCTTAGGCGCCCGTTTCCGGCTTGAGCGGCGTCGGCGTCGCCGTCGCCGTCGGCGTAACCGCGAGGTAACGTGACCCCCAAGGTCACGTGACTCCTGGAGGTTAGTGACCCCCCAAGGTCACGTGACACCCAAGGTCACGTGACTCCTCAAGTCACGTGACACCCAAGGTCACGTGACTCCTCAAGTCACGTGACCCCCCGGAGGTCACGTGACCTCGGGGGGGGGGGGGGGGGTGTCACGGGACTTCGGGGGGGGAGGGGGGATCCCTCCGGAGCATGTTCAAAAATGAGGGGAGGAGGAGGAGAAGGAGGAGAAGGAGGAGGGGTCTACCCTCCCCTCAGTACCCTTCCCTCCTCTTCAAGAGCTGCGCTCCAATTCGGCGTTACAGGGAGTTGTAAACGGCTTTCACTTTTTTGGATACATCTTTCCAACTCTTATCGCCCGGAATAAACGCCGAGTCGCTGGACTATGGGCCCAGGCGCGGTGTCCGATATTCTACAGAAGAGCTACTGCGCACGCTCGAAACGCCTTCCACATCCCAAGAGACAAAGATAGCAGCGCGGAGGAGAAGGCTATTAAAAGAATCCACATACTCGCGAAAAAAGAAATATATATATATGTATATATACACCCCCCCCCCCCTCCCCCAGGGCCGGGGGGCGGTGCCCTTGGTATCCCTCGGGCCCCGCCGGTCAGTGTTTGCCATGCCAGTGGCGGCTGTTTCAGGGAGGAGGGGGGGGGGGGGGGGGGAGGGGGCAAAACACATGCCTGCCCCCCCCCCACCCTGAGAACTGGCCTCCCAGTTGGTACGCCCATGGTGATGGGCCTTCCAGGGAAGAAAAGAAGGGCGCGTGAACGGCACCGCCTACGGAAGATTCGCTCTCATTTCTGAAACATGCGGCGAGATGGCGCCGCATGTCAGGAAAAAGCCGCGAAGCGCTCGACCGCTCCTTCGCGCGCTTCGCCAGAGGGACAGATCGCGTTTGTGCACTCCGAAGCCGACGCTGAATAGCTCAGTCGGCCAATAAAGAAAAAAAAAAAAAAAAAGCTCAGTCGTCAAAGCACTTTGCTCACAGTCTCAAGGTGGTGAGTTCAAATCCCGTTGGAACAGACTTGAGCCCCTTTATATGGTTCCCCAACGCTTTTCGCTGTATTTTTTTCGTGAAACCCGGCAGCTACACCCGGGTGTTACACAGTCAAACATTAGAGAACTCAATAGAAGTCAGCGGACAAAACACATCTTGCGTTAAAAAGATTTCCTAAGGATGCACTTTTCGGGTAAATGACGCTCGGCCCGACTTCTTGATCTTCTGCTGATGTGATAGGTGTAACGACGAAAGCCTCACCTCCATGTGTAGGCGAAGAATGTTCTTGGAATCAACGGCCATTCTCTTAAAACGCACTGAAACTGAAAGACGAAGCAGTTAAATACCACCCAAATAATATCGCTTACAGAGTAAGAAGGATCGAGGTCATGGTCTTTTCTTCACACGATCTCTAACACTCTCGCCACGTTATTGTTGCTGACAGCTTCAGGAGCACAGGGCGTCGATTTTTTATGTTCACGCTTCTTGCGTCATAATTCGTTGTTCGGCGCTCTTATTGACTAAAGCCTCAACCTCATGGGCATAAGACCAATACTACAGCACGTACACTAAAGGCTCATTCAAACTGCCCCATTTTCTTACGTTAAGTTACGTTACGGATAAGTCACCGAAACATTCGTGTGTCGAATGTCGCGTGTCATGCTTTCTCCTTGATCTGGTAGCCTCGCTTAATATGAAGCACAGAGGTACCGGTGACTTCAACGCAATACTTCCTAACGTAACTTAAAGGGGCCCTGCAATGACTTTTTGACTAGTTTTTAATTTTCACTGAACCTGAGCGTACTGAGCGTAGCAACTTAATCCAACTTTTCTGAAATTTCGCTTTATTTTAAAAGTTATAGGTAAATTAGAATTACAAAAACAAGCAAAAAATAACCTCCTTCATGACGTCGTAGGTCCTGCCTTGAGTGGCCTTGAACTAGAGGAGGAGTAGTGAGCTCATCGAGCGCATACGGCTGCCGCACTCCGTGTCGACGGCTCGAGAGGGAGCCACTAAAGCATGTGTTGGATAGGCTGTATGAAGCGGGCGGCCAGGGCAGCTCGTATTGCATTTGCAGCGCGACTAAACACTAATTCGGCATAACATTTCATTGGCCACAAACGACAGCAAACACGGGGTAAAGATCAGTTCAGAACGGGAGCCACTTCGCGCTGACGCACCGCCAAATTGCCAAATAGCCAACAGGGCCCGCGCCGAAGGCCTTCAGAACGCTCGGAACCGGTCGGATTCTTGAGCCTGTATACGACCACAGCGCCGCCGCGTACATCCGGGACCTTTCTACGCTCCTCGTTTGTCGTAGCCTCATCCCACTAGCCTTTTCTAAGTACAAAACGAGCGTGTTGGTAACTGTAATTAGACATGAGGAAGATACACAGAAAGGGGGGACGGACAACGTTGTCCGTCCCCCCTTTCTGTGTATCTTCCTCATGTCTAATTAAAGCCTTTTCTAGTATGCGCCGTTTTTGTTTCCGCCGCTTGGTGGCGGGTATGTCGACGGGTCATTTCTCGTTTCCGTACTTTCTAAACTGCATTTTTTTCTTTTCTGATCTAAAATAGTGAACAAAAACTACTTTCATACATAATTGAAACGGTTCGCGACACTTATATTTTGTATCTCGACTAAAAAAAAGCTCTTAGCGGCTTTGACCAGTGGCAAGCCCAGGACCAAAGACGTCACATTTTGCGCGCTTTCGGTACCGCGGGTCGCCCTCGTCGGTGGAGGAGGTTTCCGCGTCGTCCGGTTAAAATATGACGCGCTGATATTTAGTTACTCTCTCCGTGCCCGCTGGCTTGTTCCAACCCCAAGAGACGTGGAAACCGCAAAAAAGGTAGACGCTTAAATATGATTGCAGGACCCCTTTAACGTGAGGAAATGGGGCAGTGTGAATGAGCCGTAACGTTTTTATGGCACTTCAGATGGCGCGGAAAAAACCGGTTTCTCAACTTATCGCGCTGACATTTACTAGGAAGGTGCAAAAACGTGGAGGGAGCATGGGGTAGAAATATCGACATATTAAATTACCTTGTTCAAGAAAGAAAAGAAGAAAAAAAGAAGAAAAGCCTGTTTCGGGTTTCGGGCGAGTCCGGTTATGGCGTCGTCTGCGAATGCTGCTGCAGATGCCACAAAACTGGTTCTTCTTTTTTCGTTTTTGAACAAGGTAAGCTCATCCGTGGATATGTTCACCCCCTGCTTTCATCACGTTGCACCTATGTAGGAAATCGCAGCGCGATACGTTGAGAAACCAATTTTTGAGTGTCGTCTAAAGTGCATTATAAGCGTTAGTTTCCATGCTGTAGGATGCGTGTTAGTCTCTACGCCCTGTGTTTATTGAGAGCTCAGTGATTCCAGTTCGCCAAAGTACTTTCTTTAAAATACCCGTGCGCCTAATCTTTTGCAAAGATGTTGAAGAGAATTCGGCGAAAGAGAACGCAAAACAAAAACTACACAACAACACGTGCCTAGGTCTAAACACGAAGTTTGCCACATTACACTCTGCATGATGTATCATTTGCTCAATTCACGCTCATGTCACGTTACAGACATCACGTTTAGGCCTAAGTATTCTGTAAAGATCACTGCGCAGCTACCTTCTTGCAGCGCACGCGGTGGACTACTAATGTTGGTGCGCCACGTGGAAAATATTAAGGTGCTCGTATGAGCGAAAAACATCACGTCCACAGCGACAATGTCAGCAAGCGAAACAGCTTGCTTCTTGTCTGCGTGTACATGGTATTACTAAGCCAGAGTACCTTGGGTCATTTTGTTTATTGAATGTGCTGTGCCATATTTGTTTCTTCAGAGGAAAATCCTGGCACTTCCCCTCGAAAATATTAGAGAATACTTAACACCTGGAGAAAATTATTTTCTTGGTGCGGACCCGTTTTGCATGGTTGGAAGGGCTGGATGCACACAGTCTTGTACAGGTTACTCGAAAACATTAATGAATTAAAAATGCAACGTCTTTTGGTTAAAAAGTATTCCAATAGATTACTCGATACTTGAGAAGAAAATAATGGGCCGTTGTTGAAAAAGTAACCTTTACTTTTTTGATGACTTCAAAATTTCACAAGGACACATTTTGTGCCATTTTCAAAAATGGGTTTTCGTGCTGTTCATTATTGAATTCAAATCATTTAATTATAAACTACTTATTTTCTTAATTTACTAATTTTGGTAAACAATCATTCTCTTGGAAACTTGATTCAAGGATTTCATGGTAACAAATTTGTATAAACAAAAGGCGCCATTAGAAAGGGGAGGAAAACCTAGTGATTGTTACAGGTAATATGAGTACTTCCAAAGTAATCAAACTTATCTCGCGATTACTTTTTAATAAACGTATTCAAATGATTACAAAAGTACTCTAAAAAGTAAGCGATTACAAGTGTTGTCGAGACCGGTTGTAACGAAGTCGGTTATAACGAAATAGCGGGTATAGCGAAGTGATTTCTGATTCCCGTTGGCTTTGTTATAACTGGTCTTTGATTGCTTGCAATGAGTACCATACAAATGTGGATGCACCGCAGCCTTGCTGCTTTCCCCTATATTGCTTCCATTTGGGCCCAATACTCGCCAGGCCGGATTACCACACTTGTACGAATCTGTTTTCGGTAAGTTTCTACCAACTGCACTGAATGAAAGTGTGATGAATAAAATTGTTGCTTACATTATGTACGCGGTTTGCACGTGACTTCATCGCACTATATGCTAGGTGTTATTTCAGCGTTTTACTTTTAAGCAAAATTAAATGTGGCGTTTCGAAATGTGCACTGCATAAATGTGCACTGCAGAAGGTACTCGCTCAACAGCAAAAACCACCGCTATGGCCGCTGATGGGACATCAGTTCGAGTCACGTTGCACATGTTCTTACCGTTTCTGCTTGCAATCTCAAATATGGCCATGGCTTCGCGGGCAAGCTTGATAGAATAAGTTGAATTAGGCCCAGAGCAAACAAAGCAACGTCACACAGCGCCCTGGCATTTGGCAGCCCCTAAAAATATCGAAAGCAATATTTATTAGAGAAAATATATTTCATTCAACGCAGCCGAGGGTACGAGCTAACGGGTCGAATCAGACAACGTCCAAAGTATACCATCATGATGTTCATCGTGTGCCTGTCCCAACGAGGTATAGGGCATTAGAGTGATAAACTGGCAGCTGAAAGTGACCCCCAATTGACCGGCGCCATGTTGTACAATTTTGACCACTAGACACGTGACCAGGCCAAATCTATGACGTAACCAGACCAAATCTCTGGCGTCAACGATAAGATGGCAGCGCCCAGTGCGTGTCGGAAGCGTTGTGGGCGTTGATCGGAGTGTGTGGATTTCGTGAGCGGAATTCGGTTTTTGAGGGTTTTGTGTGCTCTCCCGCGTAGGAATAACGTGAAGTAGGAGGGAATGAGGCTTTTCTTTTTTATTTAATTCAGAGTAAGCCAGATTCGGTCCCGTGCTTCTCGTACGGGCTCGGATCACTACCTCGGACATCGCTCGGTCGTTCGAGTTTAATTAAAATATCCGCAATCGTTAACCACGGGAGCTCCTCCATAATCGCTGAGTCGAAGGATACGTCGAACCGATCCGGAACGCGGAGTCTAAAGGTATGTAGGACGTAACCAGAACGCGGAGTTCTAACGGTACGGCGGACGTGCCCGGGCAATTTTCTTAGCTCGACCGTCAAGATTCGCATTTGAAGCAGCGAGTGAAGTGTTGAAATCTCCGAACTGCTCGGTGCTGAGCTAACTACGGACCACTTCACTCTGTGATCCGTAGTGACGTGAAAAAGACCGACGGCGGTCACTCCGGGGGGACGGCGGCTCCCGGCCGCCTGCCGGGTGCCTTCTGTGAAGGGGCGACAGTCGTGTAAGCAGTACTGTACCAGCTTCTCTTATAGTTATGTTGTTCTCGAGCAGCTTCCCGATCACTAAACCCCGCAAACGCGTGCCGAAATTTCAAAAGGTGTCTGCCAACCTGGAAAGCCTTGAACTCCCAGGGAATTTTGGATCATCTGGGAAAGTCAGGGAATCATTCAAAAAGTGGGCTAAATAAGGGAAGACGACTAGTGAAAGCGGCATGGCGGTTGCTCGTCGGCACGGCCATGCTGAATGACATTGCCGAAATGTCATCCTTCGACTCAAAAACTCAAGGAATTTGATCAAAATAGTCAGGGAAAAACTTGAAAAAGTCGGGGAATTTAAAATCAGTAGTTTGTTAGACACAATGTTTGATTTTCTTGGCACTCCACGCGTTTTTACACACGACAGGCACACGCCCGTGTATCACACGGCAGCCAGGCCAAGCGGCTGCCAGCCACTTGTGCAAGGTCGATAAGACGCAAGCGTGGAACGCTTTCGGACTGCTGTAAATA